GAAATCCTACTAAGCTGATAAGCAAGCTGCTAACTATCATGTATCTCATTCCTTTTCTCTCTCCTCCTTTTTTCATTTCCTGTTTTAATCTCAGCCCCAAATGCAAGCTTTGTGGTCAAAAGGCTTGAGTTGTAATGTTTTCTCAAGCAGTTGCATCAGCTTGCATTCCCACCAGCCATGAGAAAGGCTGCGGACTTAGTGGCTTTGGGCAAACGACTTAACATCTTAGAAATGGCAGAGCAGAGCTTGGAGACACCTCCAGACCTCCAGACAAACTATATTACAACTAACATCAAGTCTCTGGCCATGCTGAAGGACAAGCAAACAGATCAATGAAACAAAACAGAGAACCCATACATAAACCCACACAAATATTGTCAACCAGCTATTCACAGAGGAGTAAAGGTAACATGATAAAGTATAAAAGTAGTGTTGGGCAGGCATGTCCAAACAGTGAATCTGCACAGACTTAAGCTTGTCATCCCAAGGCTAACTCAGGATGGGTCTCAAAGCATGAAAAGTAAAACTACAAAAATTGCAGAGAAAAATCATAATATGGATTATGACAATGTTGTTTTAACTACAACAGCAAAGATGTGGTCCATGAAAGAAAAAGTCACCAAGCTGGACTTAATGAAACTTAATTTTTTTCTGTTCTTCAAAACACAATACCAAGAAAATGAGAGAGAGCCACAGACTGTAAGAAAATATTTTCAGAAGCCATATCCAGTAAAGGACTGAGCCATATCCAATCCAAGGGCTGAGGCTAAAGCTCAGTAGTAGAGTACTCGCCTAGCATGCACAAGGCCCTAAGTTCCATCCCAGTTCTGGGGGAGCAGGACTAGATACATAAATAAAAATATATTGTTGAGGAGAAAACTACCTCATTAACAAAAGAAACCAAACACCCAAAGAGACGCTGCACTTAAGAAGAGATACAGATGGCAAATGACATGTAGAAAGAAACCCATTAGGGAAACAGAATTCAAAAGACAATGAGGTACCGCTGCATGCCAATTAGAATAGCCAAAATCTGGGCAGAGGAGATGGCTCAGTGGGCAAGAGTATGGGCTGCACAAGCATGAGGAGCTGAATCCAAAGCTCTTGCACTGTCTGGGGTGGAGACAGGAAAATGGCCACCAGCCTAACTCAGATTAGTAAAAAGCTCTGTCTTCAAGGAATAAGGTGAATGAAGCACGATAGAGCAGGACACCCGAATGTCCTTCTCTGGCCTCCCTGAATGCACAATCGTGTACACTCACACACATGTGCACATATACCACACCAACTCTTAGTTTGCTTTCTATGTCTGTGATAAAAATCATGACCAAGAAAGCCAGGTGCAGTAGTACATGTCTGTAATCCCAGCACTCTGGGAGGCAGAGGCAGGCAGAACTCTGTGAGTTCGAGGCCAGCCCGATCTACAAAGTGAGTAGAGGACAGCCAAGGATACACAGAGAAACCCTGTCTCAAAAAACGAAAAACCAAACAAATAAAAACAAAAACAAACAAACAGAAAATATGACTAGAAACAACTTGAGGAAGAAAAGATTTATTTGGCTTACACTTTCATAGCACTGCCCATTGTCAGGGAAGTCAGGGCAGGAACCTGGAGGCAGGAACTGAAGCAGAGGCAAAAGGGAAATGCTGCTTAAAGGCTTGTTCCTCATGGCTTGCTCACCTTGCTTTTCTATATGACCCAGAACCACTTTCCCCGGGGTGGTGTCACCCACAGTAAACCAGGCCCTCCAACAATAGTCATTAAAATAAATCTGAGGTCTCATACAGACGCTGGGGCGAGAGGGTGGTGCATGTTTCACATATTACACACAGGGTGGCTGAAATAAAGTCTGCCACCTTTCTACATGCACTGTGCCATTTCCTATTACAATTTTTGTCTCCAAAATGTGAATCACGTCCTCCAAGTGGATTTTCAACTCTTTAGTGAGCCATAGTCTCCAGTTGGAAGTCCCCTGTTCAGGTACACAGAAGGATGAGCTAAGACCCAGGGCACCTGGCCACAGCAGTTCCCCAGCACCTGTCCTCTACCTCAGGACCTCTCGCAGCCCTCCTTTTCCCATTTTCTTTCCTCCAGACTGGACCAGTAGTGTGTAAAACCCCAATCTCTTTCCCACATGTGAACTGACAGCTTCAGAGAAGCTCAGGAATTTATTTGAGCTGGGGAGCTAAAAGAGCTGACAGGACTACCCACTCTCCCTGATGGAGATCATTAGGATGCAGCCAGCAGAAAAGCCTCAGCTAGGTTGGGCCAGGTGCTGGAAGATTGCACAGATAGGGGGATGCTATGTTCCTCAAGGCTAACATTACTGCTTGCCTGGTAGCCAAGCTTCTTAACCCTTGGTGATACTGGAGCCTGTGAGACAACCCACAGGTAGGTGGGACCAGCTGATGTGGAAAGTGGCAATGGAGATGTGTGCTTAACAATTTAAATAATTTGTTTTTATATACATCTTCCAAGCCCAAGGCTTTCTTTCATTATAACTGATATGCCCCAGATCCCTGAAAGGTTACTATCCCAGAACATCACATTTTATGAAGACATGGAGACCCAGAAGCCAAAGATTTGCCTAGTCTCAGCACAGTTGGGAGACTGTAGGGAGTGGCTTTATTTTGTGAGATACTCAGGGTCTTGGGTGAAAGGTATGAGGGACCTCAGCAACAGGAGCCCTGGGTTCGTGGTGTGTCTTGACGGCCTTGGGAAGACTTGGGCTTCTAGTGGAACAGCCTCCTCCTCTCAGCTTCAGTTCTCTGGGCTCAAAGCATCGATGGATGTCATTCTGCTTAGGACTCCACACCACTCACCGGCCTTGCATTTTGGTACTGGGCCTTTTGTCATAAGAAAGTGGCTTCATACTTTTATCTAGTGTCAAGATTCTGATGCTTGCCCATTGGTTCTGTTGGGTTTTTGAGGCAGATCATGCAATCACGTGCAATGATTCAGTTTTATCCCTTCCTCTCGTGTCCCTATCCCTTGCTTTCTTTTGTGTGAGGGCTCAGGTCTCCAGCACATTTTGTCACTGGTGGCAGCCTTGTGATACACTAGTGATACATTTAAAGAGTCTTTATGAATAAAGTGTTTGCTCTATTTTTGGTTTGCTGAGATTGTATCTACTGCATTTCTACACCAGTGGAGTTAGAATTTGGTTTTTCTTCTTTAGTCGATTATATGGGGGGTGATATTGACTAGTGTTGGACCAACATTGTATCTCTAGGGAAAACCTTACTTGAACATACTGTATTATTTTAAGATTTTCTGACCATTTCTAAAATGGCTCTAAATGTATTTCTTCCACTTTATATTTATGTAAAGTGGCATTCTTGGCATTGATGATTATAAAAATCAGAATATCTATCAACTCTGCAAAGTGACTCCAGTCTTATAGCATTTAATATTCAGGCAACATTTCATTCCTTAAGTAAAATATATAAGCATATTCATTGTTTAAGGATGCAAAGTTGCTTTCATCCTTAACAATGGAAAAATCATATGTATGCCCAAAAACTGTTTTAAATACATTTCTTTATATTTATTATCAGTAAATGTTTTATTTGCATGCCTATTTTACACACTTATATACCCAGGGTTATGTAAAATATGTCTTGGTCCCAAGTGGGAAAAGTTTAAGAAGCCCTGCACTAATCTAAGCTCAGACAATCCAGCACCTTCCTGTCTTCATGAGAGCATTTCTCCTGGCATTTCCAAGGAGAAGGGCTTTCCTCTTCTCTACCTCCTTCTCCTTCTCCAGGAGCAATCTAATGATGCTGCCCTGGACATTCACTGCCTGCTTTGCCAGTGGGAAGTGTTCCTGTTCTCCAGGGTGCTAAGCATCTGCATAGGGCCAGAACCTGTCCTGCCCCTTCTGGTACAAAAAGCACTGACTGCTTAGCATATCCACAGCTGAGCACAGACAGCTGAGCACATGGCCTAAAGAGGCACAGGTCAGAGGCTTCATTTCAGACTGTAGCCTGAGTAGAAGCCTCAATTCTGACCTTCACCAGGCTTGGGGGTGCCTATCTGTGAAAACAGAAAAGAACTTTAGCCCTTTGCCTTCTTGCTTTTATCTGTCTTTGTGCATGGGAGCAGAAAAGGGGAGCATGCTTAGAGCACTAAGCCCCCTATCAAAAATCAAGACTTGAAAATAACATATGCAGCTTAAGAACAGAGCAGGCCATTTCCAATACACTTCTAGGGGAAGAAACAAACTCAAAACAATGTCTTGGAAATCTACAAAACAAAATAAAACAAAAAACAGACAAAAACTAAGCCTTAAAAATTCAGATTGAAAAAGCATGTGTTGCTGAGGAAGCACAAATGGTTATCTGTAAAATACATCACCAAATGCTGCCTGGAGTTTGGGGCCTGGACTCTATTCTAGGTGCCAAGGCAGACCCTCCAAAATTCTTGCTATGGGACATGGCTTACTGACTAAACAGTCGTGAGAGATGCAGCTCTCTAAGAGGTAAGGGACAAGGCAGCAAGTACCCCAGAGGACAGGTGCCTGGGGCCCCTGGACACTGACAAGGATGCCCCAGACTCATACACTCAGGAAAAGGAGAATCCAGTCCACCCATGTGTTCCATGCTGGGCTAAATAGGGATGAGAGCCTTCAAGGTATCTGCTGGACTCTGGCCTTCATTCCACTCCTCCTCTTCCTCTTAGTCTCCCTCTTCCTTTGGCATCCCTCTCTGCCCTCCCATCCTTCACCCTCCTGCCAGCTTTCTCATCTCTTTCCACCACTCCTTCAGTCTTTTCTCCCTTTCTGTGGCCCTCTCCCTTTCTTTCTACAAGAAGTCTTTCCAATCCAACAGAGGGTGGGAGACACAGTCCAGCCCCTTCTGGGGACTCCCCAGGGTTGCTGAATGGTTGAGCAGGCAGTCCCTTACCCATAAACATTTTTCCCCAGAACTGTAGTCTCAGGCTTACCCCTGGCCACAGACAAAGCACTGAATTGGGAGTAGCAAGTTTTCAAGAACCTAGCCTGAAACTAGCTATGGGGGCTTCTGGCCTTCTTGGAGTCAGAGCTGGGCCTGTCCCACCCACCACCTCCTCACCCAGACACTACAGGCATGTGCATTTATTAAAGGGTGGTGGTGGTGGTGGGAGGTAGGGGATGGGTATGCGGAGGGCTTCGCTGGCAATTCCAGCATCACTTCCTAGAACCTGTCTTCTTCCTGCTGTTGCTTTTCTTACTGCTCCTCCTGATCTTGAGTAAAGGCTGTGGTTCCACTTCAGGCTGTTTCAACCTAAACACACAACAGGAAGATCCAGGTTCTGGGCAATAATCAAGCGGGCAGGGAGCCTGGCCCAGCTGATGAGGGATGGCCTAGGAGGGAGAGTAGCAGGAGAAAGCTCCAACTTGGGGGCCTGGTGACACCAGTCTGATCCTAGCACTTTTTTATCTTTCTGGAAAGAATGACACTGCAAAATTGTGATTTTTTGTTCCCTGTCATCACCACCAAGAAACTTGTTGGGAACAGCCTCCATCCTTCTGACAGATGGGTCTGGACTGTGCAGCCTTGCTACAAAGTGTATTACCTAGTGTACAACCCTGACACATAATGAATGGGACACCATAAAAAAAACAGGCTGGAAGTCAAGGGCTGACCTGCACCAAGAAGGACACAGATTGCCAAGGCATAAGCCATGCTGTGGTAGCCTTAGTGGCCTGAGACCAAGCTAGGGATTATGTGATGAGCCATCCCTAATCTACCAACTAAAGAAATGGGGAAACATACTTGTCAGGGGGTGGAGAAGGTTCTTTTTCTACTTTGTCTCCAAGCGCCAATGAAGAGACACTGCCTTCGAAATCTTCAGATGGGGCTCTTTTAGCTGACTCAGCATCTTCCAGGCTTGCCATATAGGTAGACATACTGCAGTGGAGGAGTGATAGGAAAGCATAACTTAGGGGGTCAGAGGTGAGAGCCCAGGGTTCACTCAGTGCTACCCCCCCCATTCCAGTCCACAGAGAAACTATCAAAGCACTCTTCCTCCCAGTGTGCCAAGAGAGAAACTGTCTGCTCTGGGCACCTGGGGACCACTGGAGGTCAGTTTCCTAGCTTCTGTGAAGGGCTGCATAGCCCTCATCCCCATGCTATCAGCTACCTGGTCCATGCTACACTGAGCACAGACAATGCCTGCAGGATACAGATGGCTTTGGAAAGCAGCAAAGGAGAACCAATTGGAGGCTAAGGAAATGATGCCATCATGTAGTGCTGTGAACCAAAGGTGTCCCCCAAATTCATATGCAGAAGTCCTAACCCCAGGACCCTAGGATGTGGCATCAGTATACTCATAATTAGTTGAAATGCAGTCATTCTGGAGTAAGGTGGGTCCCTAATCCTATGTGACTAGTGTCACATCAGGGTGATATTGTCATCAAAGGCAAAGAGAGGCTAGAATGTGACTTAAGAGGGACTGTGGCCCGCTCATACCTTGATCCAATTTCCATCCCCCAGAACTGAAATGATGCACATCTGGTGCTTGAGCCACTCATTTTGGCTGTTCTGGATGCTCTAAAAGTGCTCTTCCTGCATGGCAAACAGATCTCTGACATGAACTGCACTCAGTTCCCAAAACCAGTAGTTCATCATCAAGGCAGAAGATTCAGTGCCTGCTGACACTAGTGGATGACATTCTCATGGATGGCAGCTTCTCACTATTCTCACATAGCAGGAGTAGTAGCCTGGCTTGTAGGTATTAACTCCACTCATGATGTCTCTGCTCTTACGGCCTGGTCATTTCCCAGAATCCACATTCCTAACACCATCACCATGGAGCTCAGGATTTCAGCACATGAATCTGTGGAACATGGCAGCTTGCCGCGGCCATCTCTCTTCACTAGTCCCTGGCCACCTCCTGTTGTGACTCAGTTGGCCCTGCCTCTTCTAAGTTGAGCAGAAGGTGGGGGTGCAGTAAGTGTGGTGGCCCAGGGGTGAAGAACTCCTTCACAACCAGAAGCACTCACAGCACAACCAAGCCTTCACTTGACATCCATAAAGATCATGACTGTTCACAAACCTTTTGAGGTTCTCACACTGATATTTGCATACCATATTATCTTTATGAGGTTTCACTCCAGTCTGCATATCACAGGGAACATGACAGTTTATAAGATGCTTTGTTCTTCATAGATTGCCATGTGGTTTACCAAGTGCTATGCACTTCATAGATGACTGGACACTGTTCATGGCTCGTGACAGCTTGCAGAGTGCTCCATTGCTTAGGAGGAGCAGGTCCGAGAAGAGGCCCAGTAGTTTCTGAGACCCTTCCTAATTCACTCAGCAGCTCCCACTGCCCATTGTGACCTACAGGGATGTGAGCAATTTACAGAGGACTTTGTCTTTCATAGATTTCACAGGTTCTCTGTGGTCCACTGAGCACATTACAGTATACATAGCATTCAGCTTATGGGGCCAACACTGTTTTCAAGGCATTTTTTGTCACTGCAGAGTGTGGCTGTTTCTGACAGATTTTGACTGTCTCCTGTAAAGACAGCCCTAAAACAGTTATGTCCCATCCCTTCAGGATATGACTGAGGTACGGAGACGACAAAGGTCGTGGCTGTAGAGTAGTCTGGACTTATTTTCTATTCAAGGCACATCCTTTTCCTTGATGGCCCTCAACTTCTCCTTCTGGAAGGTGTATGTGCTATGCCAGGAGCTCCTAGCTCAGAGTCCTGGGTTGCTTTTCTGTACACAGCCACCCACGCAGACTCTAGCAATACAGAGCAGAGAGCTTGGAGCCCACAGTTCAGTTCCATACTCCTCTCCCTGATGACCATGCCATGTGCTACAGAGAGCAAAGGGCCACAGGATGCCACAGGCACACTTGTAACTGTTATACAATTGTATGTTCTACTGCCATAAAAATAAAGAAAAAGAAAAAAAAAGAAAGAAAAAGAAAACAGCAGCCTGACCAAAATCTCCCCACTGAGCTTCTGTAGCAACAACAACAACAACAACAAACCCCAAAAAAACAAAAAAAAAAAAAAAAAAAAAAAAAAAAAAAAATGTTTTCAAGTGTCCCTGCCTCTGTGGACAGTCTTCTCAACCTGATTGTGAACTGTTAGCAACTTTTTAGGGGGCCTAAGTGTTGTTCTCCCTCCCCCACCTAACAACTCTTTCCTGGTTGGTCCTATTTTCCCTTTGTTTGCATATCTACACTCAGCCAATCAGAGTCCAGCGGGCACCCAGTACAAATGGACCTTCTGGGGATTGCAGAGACAAGACAGAACAGACTTCGGGTTGGGCTCCAGCCAGTTGTTCATCTTCACTAAAGGAAGGCTGCCCTCAGTGAAGGTTGCCTTCAAGACAGTCAGGGAACAGAATTGTCCCTATGTAGGAAGTTCATTTGAGCCAGCCTCCATGACTCCAGCTACAGGCAGGATTCATTCCTGTCTCAGCCTCCAAGACTTTGGCAACAAACGAGAATTCATTCCTGAGCTGCTTCCAGCCTTCAAGACCTGCTGCTCCTGGTGTTCCTGTTGTTTGACCAGCAGATTTCTTCTTCAAGGGACTGCTATGGATGACACCCTGAAGCCTTCCAAGAACTTTTAAGCTGTAACACTTTTCAGAGCTGAAAGATTTCTTGACTAGCATCTTTATACTACCAAGAATTCAAACCTGATCCATTTAAATTGTCAAAGCCTATGTGCCTTTCAGGATGGGGATTGAACATTTTAGTTAGGGTCCTCTCTCTTGCTTAGTTTCTTTAGATGCACAGATTTTAGTGGGTTTGTCTTATGTTGTATGTCTCTATGAGTGAGTATATACCATGTGTGTCTTTTTGCTTCTGGGATAACTCACTCAGGATGATCCTTTCCAGGTCCCACCATTTACCTACAAATTTCATGATTTCCTTATTTTTCATTGCTGAGTAATATTCCATTGTATAGATGTACCACAATTTCTGCATCCATTCTTCAGTTGAGGGGCATCTGGGTTGTTTCCAGCTTCTGGCTATTACAAATAAAGCTGCTACAAACATGGTTGAGCAAATGTCCTTTTTGTGTACTTGAGCCTCTTTTGGATATATGCCTAGGAGTGGTATGGCTGGATCTTGAGGAAGCGCTATTCCTAGTTGTCTGAGAAAGCGCCAGATTGATTTCCAGAGTGGTTGTACAAGTTTACATTCCCACCAGCAGTGGAGAAGGGTTCCCCTTTCTCCACAACCTCTCCAGCATGTGTTGTCACTTGAGTTTTGAGTTTTTCATCTTGGCCATTCTGATGGGTGTAAGGTGAAATCTCAGGGTTGTTTTGATTTGCATTTCCCTAATGGCTAATTTCTTTAAGTGCTTCTCTGCCATTCAATATTCCTCTAAAGAGGATGGACATCAGAAGAAGAAGAAAACAGGAAACAACCTAGGAACCTGCTACAGAGGGCCTTTGAAAGCCAGAAGAAGTAAACAGGAAACAACCTAGGAACCTGCCACAGAGGGCCTCTGAAAGCCTCTGCCCTGCAGACTATGAAAACAGATGCTGAGCCTGATGGCCAACTGTCGGGCAGAGTGAATGGAATTTTATGTAAGAAGTGGGAAATAGTAAGAGCTGGAAAGGACAGGAACTCCACAAGGAGAGCAACAGAACAAGAAAATTTGAACACAGGGAACTTCCCAGAGACTCATACTCCAACCAAGGACTATTCATGGAGATAACCTAGAACCCCTTCACAGATGTAGCCCATGGAAGTTCAGTGTCCAAGTGGGTTACCTAGTAATGGGAAGAGGGACTGCCTCTGACATAATCTGATTGGCCTGCTCTTTGATCACCTCCCCCTGAGGGGGGAGCAGCCTTACCAGGCCACAGAAGAGGACAATGCAGCCACTTTTGATGAGAACTGATAGACTAATATCAGAAAGGAGAGGAGTCAGCGGACTTGGGGAAGGACAAGCATGCAGAAAGGGGAGGGAGAGTGGGATCAGGAGGGGAGGAGGGAGGGGTTTATGGGGGGATAAAAAATGAATAAAGTGTAATTAATAAAAAATTTTTAAAAAGTTAAAAAAAAGCCTGTGTGCCAAGCAGTTTAAAATTATTTTATCTCATTTAAAGTTGTTAATCCCAAATTGTTAATAAAGCACCTCCTAGTGGTTGTCATCACTGACTGTCTACTTGGAGGAGGGTGGGATAAGTACCCAGGTGGAGGGAGATGTTTCAACTAGCCATTTCACCGATATATGGGGGGTGAGGGTCACACACACACACACACACACACACACACACACACACACACCCCTTCTGGAGCTGCTGCTGATTAGCCAGGGGACAAACTCTCCCATCCCCTCAGCCTCCATGAATTTCACACCTTGCCCTATCCTGGTCCCTCTTGTTCCCAAGTCTTTGCTAGAGTGTGAGCATGGCAGGGTAACACATCTCTGCTCACAGGCAACAGATATTGGGACCTGAAAACTACACGTGACCTCCCTTAGCTGTCCCCAACTCTAGTGAAGGAGGCAGGGGTTAAGTGTCAGCATTGTGTACAGTCTCACTCAGGGATGCTTATGTCAGAACCACATTCTACATGTGCTTTCCACTGAGGCTGTCTGGCTACAAGCCTGTTGTGCTCTCCCACCTAGGACCCAGAGACTTAGGTTAGGGGGCTAAGCTCTGGGATTACATACATTTTCATATGTTGTAGCCTTTGTCTCATAATTTTCCATAATCTGTAAGATGGTCACAAGCACAGTGGGAGATATAATTAGATTCCTCCCCATTTGTTCAAAATGTAAATAAAACCATCTTACTTTCCTGTTCCCTAGTATCTTTTAAAATACAAGAAATCTAAGGTGATAGGTTTATGGATATAAATGCCCAATAATACCCAACATATCTCCAGCACATTCTTATTTAAACTGTAACCAGCTTCTGAGACTCACCATTACAACTCCCTAGACCTGTCAATGTCTGGTCTCCAACAGCTTTCTTCTCTGTGTGTTAAGAGTGATGGAAACTCAGAACACTCAGAACACTCTGTCTGCCCTGCCTTATCCCCATAGTCTCTTCCTCTTCCTGCCTTCTCTACTGAGTACTCCAATATATTGAGGTTACTTATGTGACCTCCATGGATTTCCTATGAATGTATCACATCCTCCAGGTGAAGCAGACTGACAAAACCCAAATCAGCTCCCTAGAGTGAGCTGACACCAAGACAGAAATTTGCATCCAGGTGTGGTGCACACACCTTTATTCCTAACATTTGGGAAGCAGAGGCAGGTGGATCTCTGAGTTCAGGGCCAGCCTGGTCTACAGAACAAGTTTCATGACAGTCGGGGCTACACAGAGAAACCCTATCTTAAAAAAACCAACCGAACAAACAAAAAGATAAAAATCTTCAGGTCTATGTGGGAGTTGGGGACTTAACTTGGTGCTGTGCAGGTGTACCACAGGTGGCTCAGGTTTGCAAACAAATATTACAGATAACATTATCCTAGGTCTGATCTTTGTTTACCACTTACAGAACTTGTTAACAAACACTTTTTGTAGAATCTCTAAAATTCTGCAAGACTGAGTATTATCTTCATCTTAAAGACAAAGAGATAAAGAGATTTGGAACCCATCTGGTTGATTGATGGTCACCCAGACAATGCAGAGCAGAGTCAGGGCTCCAACCCCGTCTTAAGACCCCTGACCTAGCAAGTTTCCCAGGAACCTGCACCACAGAGCACAATGGAGTCTAAATGCTAGTTTTCCTCAGATACAGACCTCAGCATGAAGTCCAGGCTCCTCCTAGAGTAGACTACAGTGTCCTGAGCTCAGAGACTTCCTTCTACCCCTCACCAGAGCCAGCCTGGACATGTTTAGAAGTGGCAGCACCTAGTAGAATGTGCATACCCAAGCTTACTCCACCAATGACTGTGTCTGTGAGGCCTCCCTAGCAACCCAGCAGAAGCCATGCTGAACGTATGTACAGATTGGAGCTGAGGAGTGTGGCTGGACCTCCTGCCCAATAAGGTCTTTCCAATAACCCCAGACCAGCAGTGCCTTCTGTTTCCCACATAGCCCTTTATCCAAATTTATACTCAGAGAGACAAACAGCATGACCTCGTTCACCCCTTCCTGCCTGCTTTCTCTTTTTCCCTGCCTACCTGCTTAACCCTCCTTTTGCTCATGGAACTGTAGGAAGAGGCTGCACCTCATTTCCCCACTCTGGCTCTTCCTCATTTCACTTCTCTGGCAACCACCTGCTCTCCTACTCATGGCCTTCCCACAGTCCAAGTCTCCTGCCCCATTGTCCCTCCCTGTGGGATGCCTTGTCCAGTTTTACTTGAATTTGTAGTTGTCTGGCAGGAAGTAGCCCATCTTGCAATCCTGTCGAGCCCGGAAGATCTGTTTCAGCAGATTGTGCTTACTAAAGCCATAGCCATTTAGGACACAGCCCCCAAAAAGGAGTTTCCCTCCAGCAAACATCTGTTGGAAGACAGGAAAGAAATGAAATAAAAAAACACCCTCAGTGTATTGACATAGTGGTATGACTCAAAATAACAGCCAAGTTCCAAGACTTAGTAGGACGGCCATAGGCTCCTCAGAGCTGGGGTAGGACACAGGCCTTTAATAGCTTCGGAAAGTATGCTACCCTCCTTCCTGAGTCAAGAGGGCAGCACAACCTGGCTCCTACGTCTACTGGAGGCCTGTCAGATGTAAACTTCATACTTTCTTAAGGGTACTGAAAGGTCACATTCTTCCCTGCTCACAAGACCCCTACCCACCTGCCTACAGCTGTCCAGCCTTCTCTTCTTCAAACCTACACATATCAGGATGCACCATTCAACTCATCCTATGGAATTGGGTCTCACAACCTCTATCCTCTGTGTGTATCATTTTCCAACATGGACACCTGTCTAGAGATGGCTGGCCAAGGTTATTCATCATACCACTGTGATGAAGGAAAACACAAACAGGGAGAAGGGAGAGAGGGAAAGAACCTAACTGTACAATAGAAACAGCAAGGCTAGTAATAACAAGATAGACTGACTCATGTCCAGGGGTAAAAATTCTGGTGTTACCAACTGAAAATGTGGGAAGTTGCTATGTACTGCAAAGGTAGTGCCCTAAAGTATGTATGTAGAGAAAGACAGCAAAGGCCAGCTACTCCAACGTTAGCAGGGTGTAGCCTAGCAGAGGCTCCCGAACTTAAATGCTGGATAGATGAGTAAGACTCCAGGTGATATGAGGATGACTTTATTTTCTAGATTGTTTAATCAGGTTTTCAATAAGCATATAAGGTTTTATAATATTTTAGTATAATTTACTAACAATCAGATGAATAGAATTTGATTATCTGTGTTAGTATCACCCAACTCCTCCATCTCCTGGCATGCATGGGAAATGGGAGTCTGTTGGGTGACTCTCAGTCAGTCCTGCCTCAGTGTAAGTGGGAGAAGATCTGCAGGTCTTGTCCTCCTCTCCCTGATCTGGTTGAAAGAGTAGGGGCTGCTGGTGGATATCTAGCTCTTTACAGGGCCCCAGCTCACCAAAATCATCCCGTCTACCACAGCAAACCTCTTCACCATTATGGGCGGATCCTGCTGCAGGGGGCTGTCCAGATCATACCGCAGTAGGCGGTAAGGGTCATGCCGGCACTGCCAAATAGAGACGTGGGAACTGGTTACCCTGATGCAAAAAGATACACATTAACTTTCCCATAGCCATCACTGTAGAGGTATGTCCCTAAAGGTCATCACTTCCCCCACAAGACTCTTCTTCACATGACAGCACTAGCTTTGCCCTGGGACCTGAGGAATATGATGTCCCTCAACTCTGGAAAGTCTAAAGATAGGAACCCATATCCAAGTGGGCAGACTTAAGAAGCTATGTTGCACAGCCCAGAGGAGCCTTTTACCCCACCTCGCACAGGCTGCCCCCCTTGACACCTTTGTAAAGCTTAGGCATTGTGGGATGAGAGCATTAATGGCCGGCTATTAGCCAGAACAGAGGCCAAGTCTCTGTGAGGTCCACCACTACTCTTCCAAGCCTGTCTCCAAGACTCACTGCCAGTCCTCATCTCCCCCAACTACTTCAGGTCAAATCTTGGCCTCATTCATGCTTCTTATAGCTGGAATGAGACACCTATGCATTTTATTCCTTAGGAATAATTATTAGTGAACAATTAATGACCCCAGATTAACTCTACCCAACTATACGTTTCCATGGGGTGGGGATTATATCTGTCATGAAACAGGTGAGCCCCGAGCAGGCTCTTAGTAAACATTCTCTAGATTGAAGTAAGATGGAAATGAAATGCAGGAAACTAGGGTGGCTCTGCTGCAGGGCTGGGTGAAGGCCTTGTAGCTGGCTGCTTTCTTAGAAGAGCAAAAGAAGTACCCTGGTGGGGGAAGGAGCATCTGATTTTCGAAGGGCTCTAAATGCTGAGCTCATGAACGGGCTGGCAGGCAGGCCTGAAGGAGGCATCACTCCTAGAAAGAAAGAGTAGAGGCAGATCCCTAACCCAGGATCCCCACAGAGATTCAGAACTCTGCAGCAACAGTCTCAAGGAGAAAGACACCTTGGAAGAAGTCCCCTAGCCCACATGTCCACATGAGTCTGGGGACTCACCTTTTTTGCCTTCACTACCAGTAGCTTGAATGAAGATGATGAGATTAGACTTAGAGACAACTCTATAGAGAAGGAGGAGGTTCTTTGTGCTATAGCCCTTGTACTCCTACACCCCTTAGACTTAAATTGGGACTTCAAACTACCCTCATCCACTGCCTGGGACATTCAGCTGCCTGTCACAGCCTTAAGCATCCTAGAAGGCTCATTCTGATCCCAGGAGGCAGAAGTCACAGATTCCAGAGCTGTCCTGTCATGGTCCTCTCAATAATAACTAATAAACAATTAATAATTGCCCATTAATTGAGCCTGTTGTGGCTACAGCCATACTGGGTGTTCCTTCAGGGACTTGCTCATGGTGAACCATTGATATGTATCCAGAGCCTGGCAAAAGCCCAGCACACAGGGGGGATTTGGGGACAGTCCCCAAACATTTACTGAACCATGAGAACATGGGTGGTGGGCATTGTCTTTGCCCTGACTCATACCACAAACTGTGCTAAGTGCTCTGAAAGAAAAAGACTGTGCCTTGACCTTGTCTCAAGGGTCAGGAAAAAAAAAAAACTGATGTGGTGACATTCATCCTGAGAGAGAGGACTGAGCAGAATAGAGAAGTTGAGACAAAATGCTGCAGACAGAAAGGGGAGTGTGTCCAAGGCCCCAGAAAGAAAAGGAACTCTCATAATTAACCCATCCTCATACACTGGAGGCCATTTGATTGGCCTCCCTAGCCCTAGCCCTGGCCCAAGGGGCCTGCTCAAATGGCCCTGAACCAACCTGCATGCAGGGTGAGGCTCGGCCCTGTTGCCGATGGTTGTACATTGTGTCTAGCAGCCACCGCAGCTCTGCGGTGGAGTTGGGATTCTGGCTCGACATTATCCCGAATACCAGTACTTGGTAGGGGTCTCGGGGCGCAGCCAGGAAGCGCTCCAGCTCCAAGTCGGACACCAGGGGTGCCTTCACAATGCACTTGCAGCCAGCTCGCATGTCTTCCTTTATAATGAGCCTCCGCAGTACCAGTGGGCAGTCATAGGGTGAGGCTGCCCACCTAGTGGGGCTGCGAACCTCTCCAGGCTTCCCTCTACAAAGAGGAGCACAGTGGTAAGAGCCTGTGGGCAACGCCTGCTCCCACAGCTCTTGTTTTAAAGAAGCCCACTGCAGTGCCTGGACTGTGGGCAGGTCCCCCTAACCATGTGAGGGACCCCTATCCACTCTGGGCCTTAGTTTCCCCATACACAAAAGGAGGCATAAGAAGTTACTCAGTTGACATTTCAGAGCCATCCATGACTCTGACTCCACACCCCACATTTTACCAATCCCACCCACAAGCCTCTTCCCCAATTTAAGACAGACCCAGAATCAGACTGACCTCTACTTCCACCAACACAGCCCAGCCTCCTGTCATTTTTTTTTTTTAATTTTTGGCTTTTTTCTTAACAATTTATTCATTATATTTCCCGATTGAAGACCCCTCCCTCAACTCCCCCCCAGTCCCATCCTCCCTCCCTCTTACTCCTATCACCTTCCTGCAGTCAATTGAAGAGGGAGTTCTCCACTATTGTTATCTGCCCATGGCTTATTAAGTCTCATCAGGACTGCCTGGATCCTCTTCCTCTGTGGCCTGGAAAGGCTGCATCACCAGGAGTGAGTGACCAAAGAGCAGGCAACCGAGTTCATGATAGAGGCAGCCCCTGTTCCCCTCACTCAGATATCCACATGTAGACTGAACTGCCAGTCAGCCACATCTGAGCAGGTCTAGGAAGAGGTCTAGGTACTCTCCATGCAAGGTCCTCCATTGGTGCATCAGTCTCTTCAGGACCCCCTGAGCTCAGGTGTTTTAGCTTTATTGATCTCCTTGTGGGGCTCCTGTCCACTCCATGTCCCTCTATTCCCACCCCTCTTTTCCTTTATAAACTCCTTGTGCTCTGCCCAAAGTTTGCCGTGAGTCTCAGCATCTGGCTTCAATACTCTGTTGGGTGGATCCTTTCAGTGGACCTGCTATAGTAGGCTCTGGTCTGGGCTTCCCTCCATGGTCGCTCTTGGGGCCACTGAGGAATTCTGTCAGAATCTGAATTGGTCTTTGGAAGCCTCCTTGGGCTTTCTAGCTTACTTCAGCTAAGGCAGCAGCAGGCTGTATCAGCTCTAGCACCTGCTTCTTGGTCCCCTTAAGCCCTTCGCATACTCCCTAGTACTCTCTCTCTGTTCACCATACTATGGTCACACTGACTGATGCTTATGCCTTTTTTTTTCTCCCCACCTTTAAATCAACAGAAATGTCATCTTCCTAGTGACTTTCTAAGCACCCCATTGAATGCTTCCCCCTCAACTTTTCTTGCCTGCTTTATCTTTCTCTCAAGCACTGCTTGCTGTTTAAAATACTGTACATTCCCCTTATCTTATTATTTATTTATCTATTTATTTATTTTGGCTTTTTGAGACAGGATTTCTCTGTGTAGCACTGGCTGTTCTCTGTGGAGCAGGTTGGACTCACACTCAACTGCCTCTGCTTGCTGAGTGCTGGTATTAAGGGTGTGTGCCGCCACCACCAGGCTCCTCTTATTTTATTACTACACTTTTCCATCCTAGTACAGGTTTCAAGAAATCAGCTACCTGCAGTGTTCTGATTGGTGGAATCCAATAGGAGCACTTGGCAGAACAAAGGTGCAATAGAGATTGGTCAATCCTCCAGTATTTTTCAGCCGCCTGCCATGTGCTGACACAATGCAGGGCAATGGTGCTGACTCTAAATAAGCACCATTCGATGTAAAGTACTGATATGATTTTTTTTTCTCCTCTCATTACTGCCATTTTATACATTTAGTGTTTTACAGGATCTATGGCCCTTGGAATGGGCATTTTCTTGGTTAATTTTGTAAAAAACCCCACAGAATAGACAGGACAGAAACTGTTACTATCATTTCAGGTCAAAATACAGAAACCTCCCTCCCATGAGGGGAATGGGCTGCCCAAGCTCTCAGTAAAGCCTTTGAAGTAGCAAGGTCAGAACCAAGTCATACCAAAATAAGAGCAATGTCTATGATACATCACTCGTTATTTATTTAGTTAGTTTTAAATATATTCATTTTATTTTATGTGTGAGTGTTTTACCTGCATATATGTGTGTGCACAGTGAGCAGAAGAGGCCATCAGATCCCCTGAAGTTACAGATAGTGTGAACCACCATGTGAGTGCTGGGAATCAAAACTGAGTGGCTCTAGGTAATCTGACACCCATCTTCTGGCCTCCACAAGCACTTACACCCATGTGCACATACATAAGTAATAAAACAAAAAAAATTGTTATTAAAGAAAGGAGAACATAATAATAGAGAGAAGATATTCCACCTAGAAACACAGTGATTAAATCTGTATGCATTTAATAGTGACTGCTAAATACATGAAGCAAAGGAGGCAGAAGTGAGGAGAAACCATGAGGGATTCTACGGACATTAAGATTATAAGCGGCTCACCCAGTAAAAGCACCAGACACAAGCTTGACAACCTGAGTTTGATTCCTGGAACCAACCCATCCAGATGGTGGAAATAGAGCCTACCCCAGCAAGAACATACCTGTCTTCTGACTTCTCCTTATATGCCATGGTATGAGTATACACACACACACACCAAATAAAGTTTAAAAAAATTTTTTAAAGGTCCTGGGGGAAACAACTCCATGTCCTCCATGTCTATAAATCCAATGATTTGGATGACCAATTCCGTTAGAGACATGAATTGCTAAACATTCATTCAAGAAAAAGCAAGTGGCCTACCCACCTCTGTATTTATAAAAGCAATTCTGTTTTTAAAAGCTTCCTACAAAAGAGACTCTTAGCAGGATGGGTTCATGGTAAATCCTAACAAATGCTTAAAGGAAAAGATGTAGATTCAACACAAATAAGCACAAATACTTCCCAATTCACTTAATTAAGCCAGTATTACTCTGATAACCCAGACAATAACAGTACCAGAAAAAACTATCCATTAATAATTGTCATAAGTATATATGCAAAAGTCTTCAACAAAATCTTAGTGTTGTACCTAGCAACACAGGGGAAAAACACTATAAGTTTATGCAGAAATGCAAGGCTGCTTTAATATTTGAAAGTCATGTAATCTATTAACAAACATAGTACATAAAGAGACCCACATAACTATGACTCACTGTTTTTTTTAAAAGGATGCAAAGACAGCCAGGCAGTGGTGGCATACACCTTTAATTCCAGAACTTGAGAAACAGAGGCAGGCACATCTGAGTTTGAGGCCAGCCTGGTCTACAGAGTGAGTTCCAGGACAGCCAAAGCTACACAGAGAAACTCTGTCTTGGGGGAAAAAAAGGTGCAAAGACAAGTTAACAAAGAAAAGAATCTCTCTTTTTTTAAAAATAAAATCTTGTGGAAACAACTATACAGCCATGTGTAAAACAAACAAATTTCAACTTATTCACTGTTTCTTATACAAAATTATTTCAAAGTAGATGCAGTGTGAAACATCACCTAGGGTTTGGGAAAATGGTTCAGTGAGTTCAAAGTGTGTTTGCTGTGCAAGTATGAAGACCTGAATTCAAATCCCCATCACCCAAATAAAAAGTTAGGCATGGCCACAAGCTCTTATAACCACAGGCTATGAAGGAATGGAGACAGGATTGCTGGAGCTTGCTGGATGACAGATGAACTTTAAGTTTAGTGAGAAGCCCTGTTCCAAAGAAATAACACAAGGAGTGATAAAGCATTCAATGATAGGAGAGTTGGTGCCCCCCACAAGTGTGCATATCACACACACACACACACACACACACACACACACACACACACACACGCATACGCCATACTCTATACATTTTTTTTTTTTTAGAGAAAGCAGAACAATGTATCACTGGAAAGAATGTGGAGCAACTGGAGCTATCCTGCTCTGCTGCTGGGAGCAGAGCTTGCTAGAACTGCTTCGGAAGACTAGCAGTCTGCATAGGAAGCTGAGCATGTACAGACACACTCTAGTTCAGCAGTTTTACAAACCTTAGCATTTGCCAATCACATAAAAGACAAATGCCAACAGCAGCACAATTTGGCAGCATAAAAACCATGAGGAACCAAACACCTATAACACTAGAGTGCATGGTTTCTGGCATGATCACATAATTGTTCCATAGTGATAAGAAAGAACGAATGAGTGCTGTTAGTAAAGACATGGGCAAGTCTCAAGCCATCACACTGAGTAAAAAAGCCACACACTAAGAACACAAAACATATGGTAACCACTTAATTAAAGTTCAAACAAAAGCTAATCTATGGTGTTAACAATGTTTGGTCACAGACTGGAATTGGCATTGAGGGATTTCTAGGGATCTGGTAAGAGTCTGTTTCTGATTTGGTGGCTACAGAGTCTGTGTTTATAATTTTTTCATTCTTTTCAGTAAAAATCCACATTTTAAAATATATATTTTAGATTATACTTATCTATTTTTTGGGCATGCATGTGCCATGACACACATGCACATGAAGGTCAGAGGATAACTCATGGGACTCAGTTCTCTTCTTCTATCAAGTAAGTTCCTAGGGATTGAACTCAGGTCATCAGATTTGATGACAGGGTTCATTACCTGCTGAAACATCTCACCAGCCCCCAAACATACATATTTTAAGCTTTTAAAAATAAAAACAGAGGCACTCCGTAGCGGGTTTCTAGCTTGTTTCCTGTTTTCTTCTTCTTCTGATGCCCTTCCTCTTTTGCCTTTTGGGATGGGGATTGAGCCCTGCAGACTATCAAAGACTTATGGCCAACTGTTGGGCAATGTGCATGGAATCTTATGTAAGAAATGGGAAATAGTAAGATCTGGAGAGGATAGGATCTCCACAAGGAGAGCAACAGAACCAGAAATTTGAGCACAGGGGTCTTCCCAGAGACTCATGCTCCAACCAAGTACCATGCATGGAGATAACCTAGAACCCCTGCACAGAGGTAGCCCATGGCAGTTTAGTGTCCAAGTGGGTTACATAGTAATGGGAAGAGGGACTTCCTCTGACATAATCTGATTGGCCTGCTCTTTGATCACCTCGCCCTGAGGGGGGGCAGCCTTACCAGGCCACAGAAGATGACAATGCAGCCACTCCTGATGAGATCTGATAGACTAAGATCAGAAGGAAGGAGAGGAGGACCTCCCCTATCAGTGGACTTGGAGAGGGGCATGTGTGAAGAAGGGGGTGGGAGGGTGGGATCGGGAGGGGAGGAGAGAGGGGCTTATGGGGGGTACAAAGTGAATAAAGCGTAATTAATTAAAAATAAATAAATAAATAAATAAAACATTAAAAAATAAATAAAAAATAAAATATAGAAAAAAATAAAAACAGATAAATCTATTGAACTAACTTCCACATATGGAATGGCATCTCTAGCATACCAAGGCTGCTTGATCAACTCTCATAATAGCTTTGTACTTTTTCTTAAGATTAAAAATATTACATTGATCATGTTTGTATTTGTGCTACATCACATGTGTGAAGGTCAGAGTACCACTTTCAGGAGTCAGTTCTCTCCTCTACCATATGGGCTCCAGGGAACAAACTTGTGATGTTAGGTCCAGCAACAAGTATCTTTACTTGTAGAGCCATCTTGCGAGCCCCTTTGTGACACCAAGCCACACTGATCTTACTAGTGCTCATACACCACCAAGCTTATTCTTGTCCCCAGGGACTTTATGATGTTACTTTTGCACATCTGCTTGTTTCTCATCCTTCACCCCTCTCTTTAAATATCACTTTAGAACAGCTTTTCTGACCTCTTACTGAATGTAGCCTTGATAGCCTTCTCCCCAGCCACTCTGTTCCAGGAACTAAGGGTTAGTCTTTTCTGTAGTAGACTAAAACGTAAGTAAGTATCCCAGCCTACAGAGGCCTGATGGGATCTGTCACAAGGACTCAACATTACCATGCTTTGGGGAAACAGCTATGGATGTTGGGAAATGATGGATGTGATTGTTCTCCAATAGGATATCATCAAAGAATACTATTGAGTTTCCTCTCATTTCAAATGTCATAAAATAGCCTTCTTTTTGTTTTCCCCAAAGCACTTAAAAAATTAGGTATATGGGCTAGATTTGGTCCCAGGACCAGACCTTATTATTGTCCCTATTATGACACATTGTTCTGAAACCTTTTCTTCTTAGCCCCATTGCCATCTGAAATGACATCATTTTGGGAGCAGTGATGTGGCTTATCAGGTAAAGGTGATTGTGCCCAAGCCTGACAACTCAAGTTTAACCCCTGAAACATGCTCAGTGTGAACAGAGAACTGATCCCCTGAGGAGCCCTCCAATCTCCCCATACTTCCTGTGGCACATGTGTACCCGCATGCATGCCCACGCACACACAATACATGTAAAAAAGATAGCATTTAAAAACATGTGTATCTTCCATTCTTCTCTACTCTTAGAGTCGGAGCTACAAAGAGAGGGGCTTGTGAGGTTCCCACTGCATCTGTACTGACTATCACACCCCCTAGCTCTACAAAAGAAATAAAGAATTAAGCCAACCTTGGTGAAGCTTTGGCCTGGATTTTGTTGCTCTTCTTTCGAACAGGAATCAAGGGTGTGAGTACAGTATCGTCCTTCAATATGTCTTCAACAGCAGAGTCTTGATGGATTGACTGGGATCGCACAAGGGTTTCCCCTTGGAATGAATTTTGCCTATGGTTCCGCTCAGAATGAGACACAGATTTCAACTTGACCCGACTAGCTTCTAAATCTTCCTTCATAGGATATTCTATGGTGAACAGGCCTGTCAACAGGAATGTTGTTGTCACTTTCTCAAACTACCAGGTCACCTGCTTCTTGGCTCCTACCAACTGGACCATTGGAGTTTACTTTAGCTCACACCCACTGTCCCCTCACTGGGGACAGTGATTGGGCTCCAGTCCAATCTGCCTTTCTGCATCTAGCACACTGCCCTAAGTCAGCACATTTCATTTCTACTTGTTCTGCAAGACCCAACTTCAATCTTATTTTCCCCAGATGGCCTGGTGTTTCACTCTATGTTCAAACAAAAATGAAGTTAGCCACACCCTGTGTGTTTCCTTCCCTGAGAATACTGTCCCTTAGGTCTCTACACTGAGTCCAACTTCATCCTCTTCTTTGATGTGTTATGGGTTTTGTTTGCTTGTTTTTAACCTTTTCTTTTCTACTTAGTCTAGTAGAAATTTCTGAGGCCAGAGACCTACTGTTCCTTCATTCACCTAGCAATCATTTGTTGATTAAAGATACTGGGCATAAAGAAATCCTAAGACAGGCCCTTTGGCCCTGAGAACTTGTAGCAGAGGACAGAGGGATGGGAAAACAAGGAGATAAATATTCACAAGACTGGGTAACAAGATTCATAACAAGAACACTATTAATAACCATCAAAGCATCCAGAAAAGCATCTCAGAAAAGGGTGGTGAGCCCTATTTTGTGAGGGAAGTCAAGGAAAGCTCCCAAAGGAAGGGCACAATTGAATTAATTGTCTCCCACAAAGGAGAGATTCCTTGGAGGAGATGTGAGGAGAACACGGCTGCAGGCCCAGCAAGGAGGTAAGAGAGTAGGATTTGGTAACAGCTTGTTTCAAAGGGTCACCAGCAGAGCAGAGAGCACAAACATGGAAGGATCCTGAAGCCTCTCACTCTGGCCTGAGGGTGCTCCGTGTCTAGCAGGAACAGTCTTGTGAAGTGACTAGAATTTTCTCTTCTTCTGAGATTATCCACGGAGGAAAGAAAGCAAGTCAGTTATAAAGGATGACAGAATGGTACAAGGAACAAAGCAGAAAGGATCCAGAGGGATACACAAAGAATGAGAGATAGGAAAATAACAGAATTGGATGGAGATGCTAAAGACATAGTGGGAGAGCTCAGAAATTGAAGTTACCTCTGCTCACCAATCCCACTTGTGTGTCGTTAGACAATTTCTTTAGAAAATACAGGGTATCCCTACCTCTTAGGAGGCTGAAGCTCAAGAGCTGAAAAAGACTTAACTTTGGGGCAGGCAACCCAAGATTTGTGAGGCCTTTAAGTAGGCCTATGCACCATTCTGTCCTTACCTGCTGCCAGCAACACAGAGTTCATAAACTGAGTCACAGCCTTCTGAAACCGCTTCTTGATCTCAGCCAGGGCTCTGTTTATCTTTGCCACCTTTTCATCCATATAGCTGATTCTGCGAACTGGCTGGAGGGAGGCAAAGGAGTTGGGGGCAGTGGTCACCTGCTCTCAGGGAGAGGTCTGCCTGCTCAGCAGGAGTGACTGTGCTCTGAAGGCTTAAGTGGCTGTTCCTTCTGCCAACAACACATCTCTGTTCCTTTTGGCTCAGTCCTTCCTGCAAACAGGGCCAGACCTGATTCATACTCTCCCACTGTACAGTCTGACCCTTTGCCTTGAATCCCACTGTGCTATATGGGGGCAAGGCAAGTTAGCACTTAACTAACTGGGTTGCATTTGTTCTGCTCCCCTAAACTGCAAGTTTCTGGGAGGTGAGGACTATGTCTTGGTGTCCTATGATTTGATGCAGAAGATGCTCAGTAAATACTATTGCTTTATGAATGGCTGGATGGACAAAGGCTCCTCTGGAATGTTTATAGCCAGTCTCCACCTGTACGCATCTTTTAGAATCCTTCCACCTGGCCAGCTACCAGAGTACTGAGCCATCAGTAGGCTGTGGACAACTCCTGGCTGAAGAGTCAGCCAAGGTTACAGAGAGAGGTCATCCACAACACAAAGGCCCAGGCCTCTCACCTGGAATTGGGATTACTCTGAAGGGCCATTTGGTTTCATGACTCCCTGTTGTATCCCAAAGTCCTTTGCTTCAGCTTCCCTGAAGTTCAACCTCTTGCTGCCCGATCCTCAGTGCAGTCATTTCCAGTAAGCTTCTGTATGCCAGTCAAATTTTCTGAAGAAGCTGCTCTGAATAGCTGAGTACTTCCATGTTATTGCAAAACCATACTCAGAACCCAGAGTTCACTGCAGTCAGTCTTGCCCCCCCACCCACCCAAGGAAGCCTTCCCTTGTTTCCTCAGCCAGTGGCACTTGCTCTCTATTAAACATTCCCATTGTGTCTGCTTGGGGTCTTGTTCATTTTTTCACTTCCTTTATCCCTAACCTGGGCTGGCTCCTTAAGAACAGGGTCTATGCTTTTTCTATTGCCCACTTACTAGAGTAAAAGTATTAAAAAGTTCCTTCTGTGGACTTCGAGTCTCAGGCTGAATGAGTGGGAAGAAGACAAAGCTGGCCTTTTCCTCTGTAGGCAAGAACCCCATAAAGGATGCCGCCAATTACTGGCCAAGCTTCTACCATCCTTTGGAGTGGCCCTAACCACTGCTTCTGGACTAATTTTATTTACTTACTTGTAATTTATATCCACCCTGACTCAAAAAAAGATCTGAGCACTCTAGGCTAATAAAGCATTTAAGTCAAAGCACTGTCTCACTTCCAAAGTGCTGCCTAGATAGAAATATTTAGTGAGGAGCCAGGCCTCAGGGCTGTAAAAGCTGGGACTACCATTCTGCCTGTCTCTATGATAGGTGGTTCTCTCTGGGATGGGTGTCTGGAGAAACCATTTAATAAGCTTCTCAACGACAGAGACACTACCCTCTCTCAGTCCCAGCCATTCTAGGTGGCCATGCATTTTTACAGAGCCAAACAAGCACAGATAGTGTGGTTGGAAGGACTTTGAAAATCACAGGATCAAATTAAAGTTGGATTGGCATTTACAGATAGAAAAATTTAGGCTCAACCAAGGAAGTGCCTGGGGCAAGGCCCTATGGTCTCTTCCTAACCTGGGCTCTTTGTCAGATCCAACACAATGAAAGTTTCCTTGGTGCTTGAAACTTTGTTAGTTCCAGGGATCTAAGATAACCAGTTATCTGAGCCTGGAGAGTTCAGGCAAAAATAACTTGAAATGGTGGCTCAGGACAAAGTTTGGAAATCCTGTTGCTCACAGGAAATGATTACATTTATTCATTTGTTTCTGTTCATTTCATCTAGTTATAAAGACACATTCTAGACTACACTGTGCATTTTTAAATAAAAGCAATTACAGACAGAATGCTTTTTTGGGAAGCCAGCCTTCTTTGTCACTAATGTCTGTCATCTATAATGCAGCATGTTTTCTGAGGCCATTTTAATATATTGGCCTGTTTATCCCTGTGTTGAATGTCCCCAAGACAGTCATGTTCTTTGAGTTATTGTGTTATTTTAAAATAACTTGTCACCCTTCTATTGCACTGACAGACTGTGCCTTTGTGAGCCCCTTGATAGAGACCTACCCTCAACATTTAGCATGATATAGAAGAAATACACAATGTGAGCTAGTTTAATGCTTACCAGCTACATTCAAAACACATTCAAAATTAACTAAAGGTATAGTTAATTCTAATAATACATTTACTTTATCAAGCATAAAAAATGATCATTTAATATGCAATGAAATTGGCAATTACTGAGCAATTTTACATTCTCTTCCCATTAAATTTTTGAAACACAGGATGTATTTTTACTGAGATCTCAAATCAATTTGTACTCCTTGTACTTCAAAGGTTCAACAGCCCTATGTGACCTGTATCTGCCATATCGGACAGCATAGCTTTGGGCTTCTAATTCTGGCTTTCTACAGTTGCATTAAGATAAGGCAAAATCACATTTGAATTAATTTTCTCAGGCTTAGTGTACATGTGAGCATACAGACTTGAGAGTCATTTCATTCAGCTCTTCAAGATGGTCTTTAAGTTGGTTACGTCATGATTCTCAGGAAACACTCAGAGGTCATCAGACATAGCATGCATTTAACAATGACCATTAGAGCAAGAACCTGGAACCAGATGGACATGAGAGAGGCATCGACATGCACGCTTATTCATCACAGCTCATTCTTCTAGCCTACCTGCTGGCCATCTTTGCTTCCTTCCTCCTTTCTTTTTTTCTGGGGGTGGAACTAGCCTCCCATGTGCTAGCTAAATATTCTACTCTGTACTGTACCTTAGCCCACTGGAATTGTATTTCTTGAAGCTGTGGACAGGCCCCTGACTCTCTTCAGTATTCCTATAAGAGCCTTGGTGAACACTTTCTCTCCTCAAGTCTTAGTCACATGACACTCACCAGGCTGGCCTCAGAACTGGTATGCATTCTTTTGTCCCTTCCATTAGATTTAAAATTCCAGAGACTAGAAAGAGGCTTTGTTTCTACATCTCCAGCTACCAACAATGGCACACTGTAGGTGTTAATGTTTGCTGAATTATTTAATAAATTAATGAAAGAGAAATGCTGCTGGAATGAGAATGCAATGGGTAAATCAGGCACGATGCTTTCCTGGGGTGAGATCATGGGTCTTCTTCATATTCTGTGGATCTATAATGAATGCCTCACTCTGTGTTAAGTCAAGGGTAGTCAGCCATCTTTGAGGGCCTGATTGCTTATGGCATACCATGGTAATGTCCCATAGCTTAAGTACCTTTTGGTCAGGTCCATAGAATTTATAATCCCAGCCAGAATATTATATAGAAAGGGATATTATTTATAATTCCTAAAGGTGGACAGTTGTAAACAGGAACTGGCACTGGGCAAACTGTTTCAGGTCCTAGGAACCAAACACAGCAAAGCATTCATCAGGGAATTACAGTGACCTGGGATCAGGAATGGGGTCAGATGCCCCACCTTTTTTGCCCTTTGCCCTACTAATCTATTTTGCCTTACCCGTTTGTCATGTACCACAGTATGGGGACAGCTTTTGGGCGACACACTGAGAGTTACTGTCTCATTCAGGGAGGTGAAGGTGACTGTAATGGAGTCTTGTCCCAAGACTGTTAGCTTCATTTGTTCATTCACCTGCAAGTAAACAAACCAGAACTCATGGATCCCTGCTTCTTCCAAGCCCAAGGCACAAACCCTTCTTTACTTGGAGCTGAAATTTGTAAGTTTTCTGGGTCTTGTGCTAGAACCTAACTTTCATGGAGAAGAAAGAATACCAGTTCTTTTGGAGATTAGCCAAGAAAGTCAGCAATGTCTTCTTTCCCTGTTCCTTCTCTTCCAACTCACTCTTGGAAAGAGCTATGAAGCCACACAGGTGTGTCTGGCAGGTGAGTCAGCTTGAGTCCTGTAGACTGAACTGGGATAACAGCATGGCTCCTGGGTCAGACAGCTGTGACTACTCGGGCACCAACTGACTTGGGTCTTGTTCTGGAACTATAGGTCACTGTGAGCCACACAGTGTGAGTGCTAGAAATCAAACCCATGTCCTCTGCAAGAGCAGTACAGTCTTAAGCACTGAGTCGGCTCTTTAGCTATGGTCTCTCCTTCTTGTCAGCCTTCCACATTGAGGCTAACCTGAGCATCCCTGCTCTCAGCTTAAAAACTAAGCAGCTTGGTCCTACTTCTAGTAGAGCTGAATCAGCTCCTAACAGGTTGACCTTGCCACTAAAAGCTGAAAAAAAGAAAACAAAACAAAACCCCAAAACACAACTATTCAGAGGCTCAGAGGGGTGAACAAATCCAGGCAGATTTCAAAGAGCCAAAACTTAAGAAAAGATAAAAGGAACTACTATCTCAAAGCCCTAGCTTGGAGGCCATAGTCATGGCTAAAACTACCACCTTCTGGTAAGATCCAAATAATAGAACCTGGAAAAGAGTCACAGTAAAGCATACAAAAAGTTCTGGAAGGGACTGAGTCTAACGAGAGCCTAGAATTCTATGTACAAACTTGTCCATATCTCTGGCCAGTCCCTGAACCCTGCATGAGAAGACAGTCTCAAGACAGCTCACAGGAAGAGAAATTAAAAACAGTGATCTGAGCTTCTGTCTACTGCTAATAGGAAAAAGTTTATGATTTCAGCCTGATCAAGTTTTCTTTGCCTTTTAGAACAAAAATATCCTATAGCATTTTCAGAAAGACATCAGGATTCTGAGATTCCACTGCATTTAACAGTGACAGTCTGTAACCCAAAGTTAGATGGTAGAAGAGAGACACTAGTAAATCATGAGCCATTCTCAAGGCAACAGATGGTTGATGAAGTTGACCATGCTTGGCACAACCAAGACACAGAGATCTTTACACATTAGACTCTGAGACAATGATGTAAGGAAAATAAACTTGTCATGAATTGTTAAAAGGGAAGTTCTCAGTAAAGGGATAGAAAATATATAAAACTAAAGAGAATTCTAGAATACTGAAATTTGAACTTTTCACAAGATTAGCATAGAAACAGAAATGATATGACAAGGAAGTTAGAGAACTTGGAGACGGATGAAGAGAAATTACACAATTCTGAAGAGCAAAGAAACAAAATTAGAACCACACAAAAATTTAAGAGCTTGAAAGATACATGGGACAGTCAGGAGTTAAAAGCATTGGCTACTCTTCCAGAGGACTAAGTTCAGTTCCCAAAAACCATATGAGGTGTCTCAAAACTGCCTGTTGGGGGACTCAATGTCCTCTTCTGGCCTTCATGAGTATCTGCACACATGAAGTATATGTGTGTGTGCACACAGACAAATGATAAATCTTTTTTAAAAAGTATAAAATACTTATACAATCAAATGTAGAGCAAGGGAAACATGCCTCCATTTCTGGTAGGAATGTAAACTTGTACAACCACTTTGAAAAATCCATCTGGACATTTCTCAGAGAATTGGGCATAGTTTTACCTCAAGACCCAGATATAACACTCCTTGTCATGTACCCAAAAGCTGCTCTACTATACCACAAGGACATTTGCTCAACTATGTGTATATCAGCTTTATTCATAACAGCCAGAAACTGGGAACAACCTAGATGTCCCTCAGCTGAAGAATGGATTAAAAAAAAAGTGGTACATTTATACAATGTACTATTCAGCTATTAATAAGGACATCATGAAATTTGCAGGCAAATAGATGAAACTAGAAAATATCATCCTGAATGAGGTAACCCAGAGACAGGAAGACACACATGGTATGTACTCACTTATAAGTGGATATTAGCCATAAAGTACAAGATAACCACGCTACAATCCACAGACCCAAAAACAAGTAACAAAGAGGGCCCAAGGGAGGATGTTTGAATCTCACTCAGATGAGGAAAAAAAATAGACATAGAAATAGATAGAAGGAAGGATCTGGGTAGGCAAGGGTTAGGGAGGGAGAGGAACAGAAGTGGGGATCAGGAGTGGGAATGGGAGAAGGCTGAGAGGTAGAACTGAAATCAGTGGAGGGAATCTCTGGGGTGGGGGAAGCTTCCAGGAGTCTATGGGGGGTGACACTAGCTAGACTTATACCAAAGGGGAATACTGAGCCTGAAGAAGCCACCTCCTGTAGCCAGGTGGGACTTTCAGTGGAGTTAGGGTGACACCAACCCACCCACAAAACCTTAGACCCAAAATTTGCACTACATGTAGTGCAGGGATAAAGATGGAGCAGAGACCGAGGGAACGGCCAACCAATACTTGCCCAACTTGAGACATACCCAAGGGAGAGAGCCACCTGACATGATTAATGATACTCTGCTATGCTTGCAGACAGGAGCCTAGCATAACTGTCTTCTGAGGCTTCATCAAGCAGCTGATGGAAGCAGATACAGAGAGCCACAGCCAAACAATAGGCAGAGCTCAGAGAATCTTGTGGCAGAGTCTTGAGGAAGGATTGAGAGAACTGAAAGAATCAAGGCCACCACAAGAAGATAAACTAACCTGGGCCTGTGGGTGCTCACAAAGACTGAACCATCAACCAAAGAGCATACATGAGCTAGACCTAGGTCCCCAACACATATGTAATAGATGTGCAACTTTGTCATCCATGTGAATTCCCTAACAATTAGAGCAGGAGCCGTTTTTGACCCTGTTGCCTGTCTGTGTATCCTTTTCCCCTATCTGGGCTGCCTTGTCTGGCCTCAGTGGGAGAAGATGCACTTAGTCCTGCTGTGACTTGATGTACCAGGGTGTGTTGGTTCCCTTGGGGGGGAGGGCTCCTCTTCTCTGAGGATAAGTGGGTGGGAGAATGGAGGAGCGAGTGTGAGGGTGGGAATTGAGAGGAGATGAGGGAGGGGGCTGAGCTCAGGCTGTAAAGTGAATTAAAATATAAAATAAAGTAAAAAAAAAAAACCATAAACATATTTGGAGCCTCCAAAAAAAAAGGAGAAAGTCTGGAACATAGTTATATTTTGTTTTGTTTATCCTTCTAGAAGTGATTCCAAATTAGAGTAAGTGAATTTACATAAATTTTAAAAGGCTCAAAATTGAATAGAATGGGTTAAACATGAAGATAACCATACTTAAACAAATCATCAAGTTAGTTTGCTTTCTATTGCTCTGATAAAGACCTCCTTGACCAAAAGCAAATTGGAGAGGAAAGGGTTTGATTTACATATCCCAATCACAGTCTATTTCTGAGAGAAGCCAACACAGGAACTCAAGCACAGCAGGAATATGGAGGCAGGAACTCAAATAGAGGCCATGAAGGGATACTACTTCCTGGATTGCTCCTCATCACTTGTTCAGTTTTTGTTTCCTTCCTTTCTTCTAAAATAATATTTTAATTTATATGTATATGGGTGTTTTCCCTGCATGTATATCCGTACACCATGTGTATGTAATGCTTGTGGAAGCCAGGAGAGGAAGAAGGATCCTCTGGCACTGGAGTTACAAATGGGTGTTAACTGCCATGTGGATGTTGAGAAACTCAAATCTTCTGGGAGAATAGCCCATGTTCTTAATCACTGAGCCATCTCTCCAGCCTTTCAGCTTGCTTTCTAATACAACCCACGACCGCCTTGCCCCCCCGGGGGGGGGGCACCAATTACAGTGTGCTGGGTCCTACCACATCAATTATTAATAAGGAAAATGCATCTACAGACTTCCCTACAGGCCAGTCTAATTAGAGTCAATTGCTCAATTAAGATTCCCTCTCTTCCTAGCTGTGTCTAGGCTTGTGTCAAAGTGACAAAAACTAACCAGGAAACCAAGAGAAAACCTTTAAAAACTAGCAACCAGAGAGAGCAAATAGATTTGGGTAACTATATATTCAGATTCTCATCCTAAACTCTAGAGAAAAGGCACAACATTTAAAAATGTTGAAAAGAAAAAAGAAAGCCAACACAGAATCTCTCATCTCATATATCCCTTAACAATGACATTTTTACTTGAAAACAACAGCAAACTTGTTGCCAGAAGATCTGTTTATAGAAACACCAAAGAAGTTCTTCAAATTGAAGAGAAATAATACCAAAGGGTAGCTTGGATTTGGAGGGCAGAATGAAGTGAGTTAGAAATAGCCAGTATTTGTGTTAAGACTGGTTAAAGACAGCATGCAAACTACCCAGAGCCTGATACCTGATACCCACCTCATGTCATCTACTCATTTTGTTCCTTTTCTTTCACAGGAAGCACATATGAACTCTTAAAAGATGTCACATCAGACACCCCAAACACACAGCCTTTAGGAGTAATATTCATTCTTTCATTTTATCTAGAATCCTCCTCCCTCTCCTGCCTCTGAATGATACACTGTCACTCCACATTATAAGTCATGGGCCACCTTCTATTCCAGGCTGCTTCTGACTGCAGAGACCTTCGCTGTGCAGCTCCAGGATAAACTGGAATGAGGCACAGTGCTAAATGTCTGGGCATGATGGTGTACACTTACAATGCTAGCACTCAAAAGACTGAGAAGAAAGATCATGAGTTCAGTGCCAGCCTGTCTATGTTATTGTCACAGATAGGCGTTACTGTGCAATTTCCTGTGAACTAACACCATCCTGGAGGGAAGAAGGAGGCTCCTAATAACTTAGGAAATAAACAAGCTTACAAGTCCAGAGAATCTAAAACTTAAAAAGATTCATAGGGCCCCTGCCTAGGACATACAAGAGACAAACAGCTTGTGGGGAGGAGACTTTGGGACCAGCTGAGATATCTGGAGAGACTCTAGTACCTGCACAGCTGCCAACAAGCTGTGGAGAGAACCTCAGGGATACATCTTTTATCACCCATGCCACAGATGGCTGTGTGATAATGCAGCCAGATGCTTTTGAGTCATTCCAGCTTTCTAAGTAACTCTCACTCAGACATTGATAAGTAACTCCAATAAACTCAAATAACTCCAATAAATCTGAAAAACTTGTTTGTCAAGCCAGACTGTGGTAGAATTGTTTGTTGTTGGTGGTGGTGGTGGTTTGGAGGGGGGGGGTGTTGGTCACATGTTCATGTCCTATCGCTGGTGAGTAGACATTTGTTCCCATCTTCTCAGGAAAGTCACACAATAAGTACTATTTTTTAAAAAAAAGCTATACAGTCAGCAAAATGACTCAGTGGGTAAAGGTGCATGCTGCCAAGATGGACAACTTGAGTTCAAAAGCCTGGGGACTCACGTGGTACCAAAGAGAGCCAACTTCTGTAAGTTGTTCCCTGATATCTGCTTGTGTGCCATGGTATGCCCTCATGAGCACATGTACACACACACACACACTCACATGCGCACATGCGCACATATGAAAAGAAATATATGCTGTGCATTTATCAAGTATGTTCATTACTTAGTCAAATTACTGTCTTGCATTCTGATAGCTGAATAACAATTCTGGCCTAAGAGTCATAGAGATACAGAGACAAATGAACTAGAGCCTTACATCTAGCATAAGCATGCTAAATTCTGTTTTTATGCTCCTGCTGACACAAGTAGCTGTCTGGTTAGATAAGTCCTGCTTACTGAAGATAGATTGTCCCAATTGCTACCCATAATGTTTGCTTCTGTAAGCAAACTTAATCACAGTGAAATTTTCCCTCCATGGTCAATAAATATAAAGACCACCTGAAAATGGCCATGTAGGCAGAAAATTTTGGAACTGACTTGCTAAAATGCTCAATCCCTATCCAGAAAGGCAAAGAGAATGAACATCAGAAGAAGGAGAAAAGAGGGAACAAGTCAGGAGCCTAACACAGAGGACCAATGAAAGGCTCTCCCCTGAAAACTATCAATGCAGGTGCTGAGACTTATGGGCAACCTTTGGGCAGAGTGCAGGGAATCTTATGAAAGAAGTGGGAAACAGCAAGATCTGGAGAGGACAGGAACTCCACAAGGAGAGCAACAGAACCAAAAAAATCTGAGCACAGGAGTCTTTCCTGAGACTGATACTCCAACCAAGGACTATGCATGGAGATAACCTAAGACCCCTGCACAGATGTAGCCCATGGCAGTTCAATATCCAAGTGGGTTCTATTGTAATAGGAACAGGGACTGTCTCTGACATGAACTGATTGGCCTGCTCTTTAATTACCTCCCCCTGAGGGATAAGCAGCATTATCAGGCCACAGAAGAAGACAATGCAGCCACTCCTGATGAGTCCTACTTGAGTAGGATCAGAAGGAAGGAAAAGAAGACCTCCCCTATCAGTGGACTTGGGGAGGGGCATGCATGCAGAGGGTGGAGAAAGAGAGGGAATGGGAGGGGAGGAGGGAGGGAACCACAGGGGGGATACAAAGTGAATAAAGTGTAATTAATAAATAATTAAAAGAAAAAAATGTCAAAATAGTTCTATATATATTAAGTGATATTTACCAATTTCACAAAGCACAAAAAAGCACTCTTCATACATATGTTTTGTACTTGCATGCTATAATCAAACTTTGTCTTGCTTTATGATTTTCTTTTATGTACACAATAAAATTTGTGAATATTAAATATAAAAAAAAACTGTAAGAAACTACAAGTGAGCAGCTAGATTTGCAGAGCATGAGTTCAGTCCAGGACAGCTAGTATAAAATGAACCTGAGTTTTCCAACTCTTCAAATATTGCTTGCTTCTTCACTAATCAGTTTTCTATAACACAAACTAAATGTAATAAAATTTCTAAGAAAATAAAAATTATTAAAAATAAAGCTGTCAACTACTAAAAATGTTGCTTCATAATATGAAGAATATTTTACAATAAAATAAAATAAAAATAAAAAAGAACTGCCATGTGAGAGGCTCCAGCCGATAGCGATCATCAAGACAAATGCTGGGACTTGCAGCAAGCATGGAGCAGAGCTCTGGGGGTCCTGTGGTAGTGTTGAGGGAAAGATGGAGGGACCTGGAGGGGACAGAAACCTCACAAGAAGACCAGCATAGACAACTAACCCAGACCCATGGGGGCTTACAGAAATTGAGACATCAAGGCGCATGCATTGTCTGGACTGAGGCTCCTTACACATATGTGCCTTACACATATGACCATATGTGGCTTGGTCTTCACAGGTGGTGCCTGACAAGTGGGGAGGCACTGTTTCCAACAGGGACTCTATTGCCTGCTTTTGGATCACTTCCCTGAAGAAGGGCTGCCTTGCCTGACTCCAGGGAATGAGGATATGCTCAGTCCTGATGTGACTTGATGTGCTGGGGAGGGTTGATATGGAGGAATAGGGGTCTCCCCTTTTCTGGGGGGAAAGGGAGAGGGAAAGGGAAAAAGGGAGACTGGAGGAGATAAAGAAGAGGGCACCCTTGGGATGTAAAGTAAATAAACTGAAAAAATTTAAAGATATCAAAAAAGATAAATAAAACATAAAGTAAGAAGGAGGCTGCCATGAAGGATCAATACAGTAGCCCACAGTTGCTACATGCTGGTGAAAAGCAAGTGAGCCTTCTCTGGACCACTACTGGCTGACTCATGACAGTGCTGACTTACAGGTGCTTGCCTTTCAATGCTAAGCAGCCTGCGGAAGCCACCCCCACCCATGCTGCCCACATACCTTGTATTCCAGAGAGAGCAATGTCTCAGTCTTGTTAGACCAGCTCCACTTGTGGACTATGTAGCCCTTTTGGTCATTTGTGATCCCACCTTCCTCATCAAAAACCAAGACATATGGACAACTGGGAGATACATAAAAGATACACAAAAGAAACTATTTATAGGCTCTGAGAGTACTCCTCATCATTACAGGCTACAGACAGTCAGGGCTGGGAGAGTCTGCCCCAGTCTGAAGGAAAGTTTACTTGGCATAGACAATCTGAGGAAGGGAAGGGAAAAGTCTGAAGACTCCTGTGAGCAGCTTTAATCCTTCCACCCACAGTAGTCTAAGACTCCTTATACCAAATGATGCTAGCAGGGACATCTGTGGAGAAGGGACAGGCTGAGGCAGATAATATAGGTTCAAGTAAAACCCAAAATATGATTTTTTTCCTGTATCCTAGGAGCCTGGCACAAATATATCAAGCACCAAAATGTGAGCTAGAACATCTAAACACGAAAGGAAGTTACTTTTTCCAAAAACAACTTACGAAAAGCCAGACAAAAATTAACTCTTAGCTGTCAAGAGTGTATGCTGCTCTTTGGAGACCCCATGTGAGCTGTCACCTTTAGTAGCTTTTAAGTACCTAGATTAATGAAGCATGCCTGTGGGTCTATCTGTGTTTTCAGGAATGAACAGATCCTGGGGCTCTATCCTAATCAGTAGATTAACCCTTTGATGGGTTCAGAATACACTGGCAGTATTAGGAGATGTCAAAAGGCAGGAGGTGAGGCCTTGGTGGAGGAAGTTATTCACTGAGTTGTATCTTGGGGAGGGCTGTATTTTGCTCTGATACCTTCCTGTACGTTCCTTTCTCACTTTCCTAGGTCACTTCACTTTGCTATGACAAACTGTCACTTCTGACATTGTGAACCATAATAAGTCTCTCCTTCTTGAAGTTGTTTATATCAGCTGTTTTGTCACAGCAATGGGTAAAGTAACCAAACACCACAGAAATGTTGTTCATACCTCTTGTTCACCCACTCCTAGTGTAAGACACTTTTTCCTCTAAATAATTCCTCCAGGGGTGAGAATGGGAACGTGGCTCAGGTGTGGAGTGCTTGCTTAGCATTTATGGTCCTCAGCATTGACAAACAGTAACAAAAACCCTGTGTACCTAACAAAAACCCTGTGTACCTGACAAAAAACAGAGAGCTAAGTGTTCTAGGGCACCAGTGGGATGTTTGGAGAGGGTTACTTCTCACTGTGGAAAATGCAACATAAACCCAGCAGCTGGGTCTCCAAGTACATGTTCCTATAGGCAGTGCTTCACCCTGACTCAAGGCCTCCCTAGAATCCTCCTTTGACTTTTAGTCACCATCTTACTTCATGAGGCTAGACTTCCCTTGACATACTCACCTGTTCTTTATGTTGTAGTAAACACAGCCCAGGCCTTCAGCGTTAAACAGAGCCAGAAACGTGTTAGGACTGTCATTAAAGAGGCAGGTGATTGGTTTCCCTCTGCAGCAGGTGGGAATCTGAAGCATGGCAATGTTTCCGGAGGGATAGCTGGCAGACACAGTCAAGTTGAACTAACAGAGAATGCTCCAGGTGCTGGCCCTCAGGGTCCTCACAGAGACATGTGAAAGGACTCTTCTGTTCTGTATTGCTCCCTTTCTTCAAAGACTCTCTCTGTGCTTTGCATGTGTGACAATTAAATAATTATGGAACCTGGCCATGCTCCTTCCTGTATCTACTTCCTATTCCTCAAGCTACTGCATGAGGTGGGCCTATCTCCATCTTGCATGTCAGGAGGGTTTCACATGTCTAAGGTACTGGAAACACAGCCTTTTAGTGATAAAACATGAAGGTCTCAGGAAAACCAAGGTGAGGAAGTCACCATAGTGAGAAATCCGAAGCGTAGAAACTGCCTTGTCCTGTCTCACACCACAGTGAGTGACGGCCAGGGAATGAGCTCTAGAACCAGCAGTATTTCTAGCACTGTCAAGCTGTCTCTGCTTTTGGACAGTCTGGTAGAAAAATAATCTCCCTCTGCTCCTTTCCTAGCTCAGAGGCCCAGGTAGCACTGGTCCTCAGAAGGGCACAGTGTCAGCAGCTACTTCTTTGTAGAGCTGAAGAAATGTCATTCCACAAAGGAGGACTGTAGTGACTGGTACTGCAGTCTGTACTCCTAAATTTTTACCACCAGCCAAATAAAAACAGAAATGCAAGGAGGGAGGGTGATCAGCAGGTAGAAATGATACAGCGTGACCTATCAGAAATTCTAGAGCTGGGTAGGTAATTCAATGATTGAAACAAAGATTTCACCAAACAAATACAGCAGCAAGTTAAAACAATAAAAGACAAAAATCGTACTGGAAAACAAATGAGCTGAAATCATCCAGACTGTATAGCATGAAGGAAAAGAAGAAATTGGGTATGATAGAGCATTCCTAAAATCCCAGAACTTAAGAGAGTGAGGCAGGAAGATGACTTTGAGTTCTAGGCTAGCCTAAGCTACATAGCTTCAGGTCAGCCTGAACTACAATGTGAAATACTATCTAAAGATGACAGCACAACAAATCCAAGAAAGATTAGAACCTTAGGGACACAGAAAAGATCATCAGGCACACCAACATATCAGGAGTCCCAGAAATCCAGCAAAGAGCAGACAGAGAGGATATCCGAGGAAGTAAAACACATTGAATGAAGCTGGGCATGTTTGTGCACATCTTTAATCTTAGCATTTGGGAGGTAAAGGCAGGAAAATCTCTGTGAGTTCCAGGATAGGCAGGGCTACACAGAGAGATTTGTTTCAGAAAAGAACAGAACAAACTGGAAGGACTCACAGAACATTTTTATTTTAAAAACTTACCACAAATCTTTAATAATTAAAGCAATGTGGTCTGGCATAAAGATAGACATCAAACTTAGAAAACTGGATTAAAAATAGATCCTTCCATCTATAGTCAATTTACTTTTGCCAAGACTCTGGGATCATTCAAAGAGGAAAAATGATTTCTTAAACAAATGGCACTGGGACAATGAAATACTCAAGTGCAGAGGGATGAAACTGAGCTTTTCGTCCATATAAGAGGCAAATATTGGTTCAGAATACCTCAATTCCCCTATAAAACTGTTAAAAGAAAACACAGGGTAAATCTTCATGACCTTGGATCTGGCAGTGATGTCACAGATGTGAAACCAACACAATGGGGAACTTTGGACTTCATCAAAATGAACAACTTTTGGGTTTAGAGGCAGGGCTCAGTGGTAGAGTGTGTCACATTTGAAGCCTTGGGTTTGAGTCTTGGCAGCTGCTTCACCAAAAGAAAATCAAGGGATGAGCAGAAGACTAGAAGACACACTTCTCCAAAGAGCACCTGACAAAAGAAGCAAATGCAAAGCTGTTCAGCATCACTGTCACCAGAAAAGCATAAGTTTAAACTAGGGGATTCCAATTGATTTATGGGAAGAATGATGAAATGAACACAGAGCTAGTTCTGAGAGCTACACCAGGAGGTTCAAATCAACTGTGGCTTGGAACTGACCACCACAAAGACCTATCGTTTTTATCTGTTTCTCTGTGTAAAAACAGAGTTGCCAGAATTCTATAGAAGCCAGGTCATGAAGAAAAGCTTTCTAAACATGATTTACTCAGGAAGGATCCAACAGCTAAGGTGTACCTTAGCCTTTGAACACAGTGACACAGAACTTCTTTAATATAGCGAGGTCCAATTCACTCATCATCTAACCAAGAAGCAAGGCACACAGATTGAGTAATGTGTATAGGGTTGCAGTGGTGGCTAATATAGACTATCAACTTAGTGGCATTTAGAATTATGTAGGAGACAAGCCTATGGTGGTGTCTGTGATGGTATTTCCTCCCAGAGGGGTTTAATTGAGATGGGAAGATCCATCTTGAATGTGAGCAGCACCATTCCATGGGTCAGGGTCCCAGACTAAATAAAAAGAAGCAAGCAAGCAGAGCACAGGCATTCTTCTCTGTTTTCTGGCTGTGACTCATGTAACCAACCATTCTATACATCTGCCACCATGCCTGACATGAAGGACTGTACCTGCAAACTGAGAACCAAAATAAACCCTTCCTTTCCAAAATACCGGGTGTAGTATTCTGTCATACCAACAGGACAAGTAATGAATACAGAAAAGAACTGAACCTGGCCTCCATGACTCCCAAGAAGAAAATGGACTAATTGTCAGGATGCCAATACTGTTGGAGTAAAGTTGAGTGTTCCTGTAGCAATAAATCAGAGGTCAGAGCTGATTCTACCTAGGACACCTTGTAATTCTGGGACAGGTAAGAAAAATGATCCTATGCAACCCTTCTCCAGTCCCCTTGTTAGAAAAGTAACTTGTAAATGTGTTGAACCAGGTTAATGCAGTGAAGAGTCAGAAATGGGGCAAGGGAGCCCCACAACCTTCTCAAGCAGCAGCTGTCTTGGAAGGAGTTTGCTTCTTCTGTATTGGAAGCAGGAGCGGCAGGGCTGGGAGGGTGTGAAGAATGGATTCATTTATGGCAGAGACACGACGAGACTTCTTTGATGTGGCACTTAAATCCTGAATCCCCAGTAAAGTCAAGAGGAGGTAGAGCAAAGTGAGGATGGCTGTTGCTGGGCAAGCCTGATTGGTGGCATAGCCTCAGGAAAGCAGCTGAGGTAGTTCAGAAACTTGCCCTTTACTACAAATAATAGATCTGATTGCCCAGAGCTCATTCAAGTCTCTCTTCCATGCTGTCTACCACGCAGAATGATCTTTAAAGGCATAACATTGGTATCTGAGAAAGGACCAAAACAGAGGCACAAAAGCCATTTATCACCGGAGGCTTTGCCACCAAGTTCCTTTTGTGACATTGAATAGGTAATAGTGCCTCTTTGGACCTAACAACAAAGGTTTGTTTCTACCATAAAGATGTACAACTAAATGACTGTGTCTCCCATCCTTGAAATCAGTGTGAGTCAAGATTCAGAATCTGGAATAAGCGATTTTCCCCCACTGGACTCAGCCCACATTGTTTTAAGGCTGGGTATCAGGTTCTGATCCAGCTCTAGATGATGTTGGAGAGTGAATGAGTGATAAGATGCCTGAAAGGGACAGTGTCTAGTCTAAGGGGACATCCCCTCAATGTTTTCCAAAGGGAGCTTTTTCTCACTTTTGTCAGCCAAAGTCAAAATCCTTTCCTGGTTTTAGAAGACAACAATCAAACAAAAGTTGCTCCTCTGAGGTTTCATGAATGATCTATCCAGTTCATTCTATTGATCCACTTGGTACATCTCTGTGAGTAGAAGAAGCAGCCACCCCACCCCACCCTAAGGCATGTACAGACCTCAGGCTCACCTTCTGAAGGGATCTGCATTTCAACATCTGAGCTTTCCTGAACTAGAATTCAAGCTCAGGCACAAAGGCAGTTTTCCATGGGCCATGAGTTCCCTGAAGCTGCAGTTCAGAATTTTACATGTGTGCTGATATGCATGTGTGTGCATTTTTCTGGGAAGAGGGTCTTCCCAGATTCATGGGAAATTTGCCCTCTTCTGCCACATTTGCACCTAACATTAGGATTCAGTCACCCAAGGCAGACCTCAGCTACAGGTCAAGAAGATGTACAGTGAGAGGGATGAGGGCTTAAACTCCAAGCACTTGAACCTTAGAGGTAAAGGGCAAGGACTACAGGCTACAACTAGTGAATAAAGATCAGGAAAATAACCCTCTCCTCAAAGCATTTAGGGGCACCTTAATTTTCCTCCCAGCAGGAAATGAACCACCCTGTTGGTAGTTTTCTCTCTCCTGGAAGGGCCTTAAAGGAAGGGATCTGCCTGTACAGTCAAGCATCTTACAGGTACCAGGGACTTGATATCTTCCTGTTGAACAATACTGAACATGTACTTAAACTTTGAACTCCTTCCTTAGTCCCTCCAGAGCCCGACCTAGACCAACATTTACTCTCAGAGCATCCTTACCAGGCTTCTCTAGTTGACCAAGAGTCCCCAACGAATAGTTAGCTGTTTTAAGCCCTGAGGTTCACTGGGGATGAGTTGGGAAGAAAGAGCATCAACCATCAAAAGGATATTAAATGAAGGAAGAGCCATCATAGAAAGCGTAATGCAGCTTGATGGGCTTCTTGTGCCCCCTCCACTCCTGAGAATGGCGGTGTGTGTGAGCATGGTGGCTGGAAGGAGTGAAAGAAGTAACCTGAGTCGGAGTGGAATGGTGAGAATCCGCCTTTTGGTTCAACACTAAATGAGAGGCTACCTTTGCTCTGTAGTTGCGTAAAATCATGGGGTAGGTGCCAGTATTCCCTTTCCAAAAGATCCTTTCGGTTTCTCTGTGGGGAGGAGATGAATGCATCTTCTAGGAGCTCGGTTCTCACTCTCCAGAGAGGTTCTCCATATCCCCTTCCCAGCAGCCAAGTCTCCCACTCCGGTCCTCTTGTCCTAAAGCACATATCCCCATCCTGTTCTTCCTCATATGTGAAGTGGGAAGGTATCAATATCCTAGAACAGCTGGAGACAAAATATCCCTTCACCTCCCCCCCCTCCTTTAAGTTCCAGGTGGGTTCCTTCTAAAATGTCCCAGTACAGAGGTGAACAGGGTGGCTGCTGTGAGCTGGCCCAGTGATCCCAGGAAGCATAGATATTAAAAAAGGTTTAAGCTTTAGGCTGTAGAGGGATTAAGGAAGGGCCCTTGATGAAATGGATTTCTGCTAGGCATCACAGTATCCCCAAATAATATACTATGAATCACCCATGTGAATGAAATATTTAGTTTTGAGAGGTTTTGTTTTTCTTGAACACTTGGAAAATTATGCCAAAAGCCAAGCATTTGGGGCACAAAGCCTATGAACTGCTGGGAGCCACATGAAGGACTTCCTTGGGTGAGAGATTGCAAAGGCTGAGATCATCAAACAGGAGTTGGGCTGACAGAGCTGGGCAAGCTCAGGAACTACTTTACTTTTCTTATCTATAAATTGGAAGGATCGTGTGTGTGTGTGTGTGTGTAAAGGACACAGCTGTGTTGGGGCATGCACTTACTGCTGTGACACCCATCTGTCCTCACATCCCATGTCCTGTGGATGCCACCCCCATATCTAGGCACTCACATGTGGCGACACATATCCTGCAGCTTTTCCCGAGCCTCAGGGCAGGGGTCCTGGATCTCAACGACAACGCTTTCAGGAGGAGTTCGGACTCGGACAATTGGGGATGTGATTTCCTCTATAGGCTTTCCCTTGCCTGTAGTTAGAGGTGAGGAGGTAGAAATAACAGATACAGTGGGCTTTAGAGGTGGGTTTCGAGCATCATATTCTCCTGAGGGAGGACTGCAGAACATATTAGGAGGTTCTTTTGTGCTATGCAGCTATGGGGATCTTTGGCTGCTAACTTAGCAAGCCAACAATTAAAGGTACATCAGAGACTGAGGAACATAGTGATGAACAGCAACATGCAATGACATGGGGCTTAATGTTGATGCCTCCATAGTTCCCTATAACCAGTTCCCTTTTACCAAGGAGAGTGAAGCATGAGGAAGACAAGTCACACAGGCAGGCAGGATGGGTGAAGAACTGGCTTCAAGCTTCTCAGTTTCCAGCCTTACCTCCAGTGTCTGTGGAAACCATAGGGGAAGCATGAGCCAAACTTGACCCTCCTTCACTACCCAAACCTCCCCCACCTGTCTGTCTAACACATTTGTCATCATAGTTGGCAGGGTGAGTGAAAGGTCCTAAGGCGTCTCCTAATGCTCAGCAGCCCAGCCCCCCATCTTTCCCTTAGAGCTTCTTTCTCTCAATTGTTATCTATGTTTGGTTGTGAGCCTAGCCTTTAAAGGCTGAGCCATCTCTCCAGCCCTCACCTGTTATCTATTTCCTCTAAAGTTCCCTCCCTTCTTGTTGGCCTTTCTGAACAGAACTGGAGCCTGCTAAATTTGGGATACAAATACCATTATTTCCCCACTGATGGTATGGCTGCACAGAGCTGTGTTATTCACAGTATGGAATCTGGATACTGCCTGGGCTGGAAAAAAAAAATAGATTGATGGGGCTGGAGAGATGGCTCAGCAGTTAAGAGCACTGTCTGCTCTTCTGTCTGCTCTTCTAGACATCCTGATTTCAATTCCCAGCGATCACGTGGTGTCTCACAACCATCTATACTAGTATCTGGTGCCCTCTTCTGGCGTGCAGGTGTACATGTAGGTAGAACGCTAAAATAATTTTTTTTTTTTTTTTTAAGAAAAAATGGATTGAGTTGGGGAGGCACACAGGGAATGGGATGCAATTCTGATTGCTGTGACTGGATGTGCTACAGCTCTGGAGTGCTTGTAAGGATCTGTGGCACAGCTGGAGATGTTGCTTTTTTTCTCACCTTTCTTTTTGCCTTCCTTTCCCGTGGAGAGGGAGAAGCTCAGACAGCCAGTGGAACTCTGGTAGACAAGCTGGTAAGGCGTGTTTACTCCTATGGTAGACATGTTCATTACTGATTCTAGGGAAGAAGAGTGAGTCTTCTTTACAATCTTTTAATCAGTTAAATTACAAAAATGTAATGTAGTCTTGTTTAGACAAGATGGTGGGCCAGATATTCCAAAGTTGCCTATAGCTATAAATCAGCCAGTTTTGTAAGATGTACAGACAAGTTCAGAATACATAAACGACATATTAAGGGTCCCCTTTATGGTTCTCTGTACCTCAGCTCTCAAGGGTGAAGAGCCTCTCACACTTAAATAAGAAGCAGAAAGCATGCACGGTGTAAATTATTCTGCATATGTCAAATGTGCCCCTAGGTATGGACAAACCTAGGCATCAAGGAGGAGGGACTTAGAGCCGGTTCTCCCTTATCCAATGCATGCCAGCCAGATGCTCCTCCAACAGCCTCTCGGTCCTGCAGTACCCCAGCATCTTCTGTGCTGCCACCTGACATGCGGCTGCTTAAGAATCCTAATGCAGTCGTTGGCCACACTGGGAAGAGGAATAAATAAAGAGGTCCACTGACCCCTCCCAACCCACAGATCCATCTTCCTGGTACTAACATGAGGCTTAGGTTTAAATAGGGCACAAGAATTATGCATTATCAAGCAGTCCTGCCCAAGGTATGGTCCTGCCCATCACTAACATGCCTCTGAGCTATGTCCTGCAAGTTATCAGCTCTGTGTCTCTATATCTTAGAGATAAGTTTCCCCAGTGATTGGCCACAAGGTCCAAGTCTTTTCCTTCCCAAACATGAGACCCCTGGGGAAATTCCAGTCCTTTAGGGTTCACTGTATCAATAGACTGATAGCCAAAGTAAAAGCACAGTAGCCTCTGTAGAATATCTGCACTCCTAATTACAATCTTTTATGAAGCCCACTGTCTCATTCACTTGTTCTCTCCCCAAATAAAGTTATGTCAGTGGTCAGGCATGAAACTGGGGTTAGAAGATGCTCAGAAATTCACTCATTACAACATATTCAAATTCATTAAGAAAACAATAAATGCAACCTCATTAAGTAAAAAAAGACTACAAACATATCCTCCACCCTGGATGATCAACACACAAGAACAACCACTTATGCTAATGTTTCAGATATTAAAATTAAAACAGCTTTCAGTACCTTCTACTCTAGTAAAAATGAGACAAATGAGCAAGAACTAATGCTAGTCAAACTGTTCATGTAGAGAAAAATCATATAGAAAGTTATGTGCAGATTGTGACTCTCTGACCCAGTAATCTCTACCCTGGGAGAGATTAACCAATTAACCAATGCAACAGAAGAAAAAAGTGATGAGCAGACAGCTGCATATAGAAGTAAAAGAAAAAAAAGATGTGATGCTAAGCTCTTAGATAAATATGGAACATGAGTGTTGGGAGGAATCTGTCTCTGCTCACATAACAAATATTGCAAACCATACAGCCATCCTGGCAAACATTTGCAGTTGGTCACATACCAGAAACCAAAAGATAATGGCAATACTATCAAAACATATATGCACGAGCCAAGATGGCAAGAGTGCTTTCTTTTTGGATATTTCACTCAGTAATGTCACTGTCAAATGAAAATGAAGAAGCAGCCCTGTGACAAGCCAGGAGGACAGTTGTCAGAAGAGGAAGACAAGCAGGAAGCAGTCTTACTACCATGGAAATGTCACCTTAGCAAAGGATATGTTCTGGCTAGATTTAAAAAGATATGCCAGGAGTACTTAATAGAATGCAGTCCAGAAAAACACAAATTTGCAACAAATTATACCATACTTTGAATTTAATGCACTAGCAATTTTAGCTAATTAAAATCTGGCATCACATGAACGTTTTCCCAAATGAAATGAGTGCACCATTCCTTCCATTGTACTTGACTATTTTAACTGCCTATACCCTACCCCCAAGAAAACTTCAAAGCCTTTTAAAGAGAAGGCTGTTTCAGGCTACAGATGGCTTGTGGGTTAAAAACACTTTGAAGGCCTGATGAGCTGAGTTCAATCCCCAAAACCTGACTAACGATGGAAGGAGAGAACAGACTTAATAGAATTACCCTCTGACCTACACATGTATACACAATATACACATACATATATCTACAATAGCAATAAACAAACATTTAGAAGTGAGAGAGTAAGCATCTGCACCAAGTGTCAGCCTGTGAGGGATTTCTGAGTGAGTCCCATGATAGGAGGGCCTTCTGCATCCTCCATTCAATAATCATGGTCCAGGTGAACTCTCATTTCACTATCACCCCACAAATCATAAGTTCTGAGGGACTCAGGAGGTATTTGCTTTGGTGACAAAGGCCTGTTATCCTAAAAATATGCTTAAAATACTTTATAAGATGGAATATAACTCATATTTTAAAGACAGTAAGAATTAGCTCTCAGAATCATCCTCAGAATCCACAGGACATTGGTTCCCCTGCAACTGTGTATATGTGTTGGGGGGGGGGCGGTGGGAGACAGGCATCTATAACTGGAGTTACAAGCATTTGACATAGGTGCTGGTAAATGGACTTGGGTCCTCTGCAAGAGCAGTAAACAAGCGCTCTGCCCCCTTCATCTTTTGAGACAAGAATCAGTGAACTGGATGGACTGGCTGGCCAATAAGCCCAGAGATCCTCTTGATCTGTGTCCTCAGCACTGGGATTACTGAGGGTCTGAACTTAGGTCCTAATATTTTGTGTGTCAAACAACTTACTAACTGGGCTATCTCTCCATTCTAAACACTTTACTAACCCCAGATGACTCATGACACTTAATACAATATGAATGTTATGCCAATGGTTGCCATTCTGTGTTACTCAGAAAACAACACTGAGGGAAAATGCCTGAACACATTCAAAATAGAGGCAATCTTTTTTTTTTTTTTTTTTTGAGACAGGGTTTCTCTGTGTTGCCCTGGCTGTGTAGACCAGGCTAGCCTTGAACACAGAGTTCTGCCTGCCTCTGTCTCTTGAATGCTGGGATTAAAGTCATGCACCCCCAACACTTGGTCAGAGGCAATCTCTTAAAAATGGTTTTAAAATTTTTATTATTATTTTATGTATATATTTTTTTCTGCATATATGTCTGTGTACCACACATAGCCCAAGGACACAAGAGGCCATCAGTTCCCAAGGAACTGGAGTTATAGGTGGTTGTGAGTTGCCATGTGGGTGCTGGAAACTGAACATGGGTCACAAAGGAAAAGCAGCCAGTGCTCCTGATAAGCACCCCATCAAAAATAAACATGTTTAATTTGTGGTTGCTTTGAGGCAGGAAAATTTTTAGGGACATGAGAAGAGGGCCCTTTCACCCCAGAACGCAGTTGAAACCTCCCATTAGTGAAGCAGGAATTCTAGCAGTTAACTGTGGTACTCAAAGCCTTTCTCCCTCCCAGATGTAAAGTGACAATTTTCTAGAAACCTCACCAGAGACCCCATTTATGGGAAAAGCACAAGCAACAAACCCTTTGATGCAGACATGGTGGCTCCTGGTTTTACCTCCCTAGATTATAATCTCATCTAAGGTGTGGCTAGAACCACCTCACTATCTCTTATCAGTGGGTAGGGAGGAGGGGAACGGACTGTAATAATCTTGAGATGTAACTTGAGAGTCACAAAAATGACATAATACTAAGACAATTGTGTATCTCTCTTGAGAAGCCCTACCCACACTTGTGTACATCTTATTTTCCCCTGCTCTTTCTTGGAACTCAAACACACACACACACACACACACACACACACACACACACACCTGAATGTGTCTTATTTTCTTCTTAATGGCCCTCTTCTTCTTGACCCCCACAGTTAAGACAGTTGTCAAATATCTTCAACAAAATTGCCAGCTCTGCTTCATCAGAAACCAGCTGATCCTGAAATTCTTTTTGAGCAGCCATAATTCCCAGTTCTGCCTTGGTTGAGGTTCCTAAAAGTTTAAGTATTTCCCACCTCAGGAGGCTGAGGGTGACAACTGAAGCTGTGCCTTTGTATCCTCGCTGCTAATTGACTGAACTTGAACATGTGGAATTTGTGGTTACGAGGATGCCTTGCTCAGGATTTGGCTGGCTCCCATGGGGTCTTATGACAGACTTTCACATTCATGTAAAAGACCTGGCCCCCACAAAAGTGTGTAAGTCCTAAAACAGAACACAAGATATAGAACTCTCCCTGTGTCAATCACCTGCCTCCCACTGTTTACAGCAACACTGAGGGACTTAAAAAGACTGTAAAACCTAGCTGACCCAGTTCACACTAGGCATCAAGTAAATTCCTTAAAATAGACTCCTCTGTTCTTTTCTTCCTCAGAAAGAGAGAAATGTTTGACTGGAACTTAATCTTAGGAAAAGAAGCTTAAATTTATCAAAATAATATTTTATCTTGCTTAACAAATTGGTTGATACTAATTCTATGCTATGGTGCTCTAATCTTACAAAATTTTAAATGGTATGCAAGGTCGCTTGATTTTCTTTTCCCTGAATAATTGTTTAAAGCAAAAACATGGTTCCCTTTGTGTTTTCCCTTGGCTAAAATATTCAAGGGCTTTCTTGTTTACTCCTAGATTCTCAGTGGCTCTGGCACCCTTCCCTGTTGTGGGATCTGACATGGCATGCTATCTTCATCCCACCACAGCATGCAACAGCAACTTTCATGGAATCCCTATGTCACTTTCATTAACTTCCTTGAAATCCTATGTTGATTTGCTTTGGGTGTGTCTATCATTATCAGGTATTTAGCCTCATTCGTCAAGAGACCTGAACAAAGACGCTGCCTTGGTGGCAAGGAGTGGGGCTAATGGATGGCTGACTGCTCAGTCACAGAGCATGGATAGAAGATTTCATTTGTTCTGAGTTCAAACTGACAGCACTGCTAAGCATTCAAATGAACACTAGTGTCCCTAAGCTAAGCTAAAGATATAAAACACCACAGGGGAAAAGCGATTGAAAACAGGGACCAAGGATCAACATGGATATTTGCCAAAGACATACACAGGGCCAACAATATATGAAAAAATGTTCAAAGTTATCATCAGAAGAATATAAATCAAAGCTATAAGGAAATGTCATTTCACGAATTTTATCAAAAACAATAACAATGATAATGAGGGGATGGAAGAAATAGCTTTATAATTATGGTAACATTGTAACTGAATAGTCATAATGAAGATTCCCTGAAAAATTAAAATAGCTGGGCAGAGTGGCACACACCTCTAATCACAGCACTTGGGAAGATGAGGCAGGAAAATTACAAGGTAACACTGGCCTGGGCTACATAGCAAGACCCTGTACCAAAAAAACAAAAAACAACAAAACTTAAAAATAGAACTATTATATGTCAACCTCACTTGCAAGTATATATCCCAAGGAAATGAAGCCAGTATCATAAAGAGATATCTGTACATACATGTTCGCTCTAACATAATTCCCAACAGCCAACATGGAATCAGCCTGAGTATGCACCAGTGGGTCAACAGATAAAGAAATGTGATACATATACAAAGTGAGGTAGTATTTGGTCTTAAAAAGTAAGTAAATTCTACCATTTACATCAAGATAGAAGAGTTTAGAAGTCATTATGCTAAGTGAAATAAGCCAGGCAACAAAAATAAATCCTGCAGGAGCTCACTCATGTTTGAAATCTAAACCATCCAAACTCACAACAGAAAGAACAATGATGGTTGCTTTGAGTGTTCGGGGTGATACTGGTATTGGGTACAAACTTTTTCTAAATCCTGGAACTGAATGAGCAACATAACGGTGTCATCACTTTCACTTTATACTATATTTGTTATTTGCTAAGAAGGTAACTGTTCTTTTCATACGCACAGGTAACTAGGTAAAATAAAAACTTATTACAGTCATTGAGTGAATTGTAGTACTGCAGATCTTGTTCACCTACCTCCATATCTCCAAAGATCACACCTCTAATATTTCTCCTCCTGGTTTGTATTTTGATATATTCATAAACAATGTCTCTTCGCTTATATCAAAGTATTAAATATTTACCTACACTGCTGAGTGTCTTAATGCTTTAGGGTAAGTGTACAGGGTCTCATGTAGCCCAGACTGGCCTAGAACTCATATTGCTGAGAAGGATTTTGAACTCCTAATTCTCCCTGCTTCTAAATGAGAGTCAGGATGTCAGGTATGTGTTGTATGTTCAGTTTGATTTATTCATTTTTGTTGCTCACCAGAAAACAGTATCTATATGGACCATAATTTGTCTTCTTTGGTAGACGGCTGTTTCTAGTCTTTCTGCCTCTCCAAATGATTTTGTAATGAGAATTCCTATGGGACTGCCTGTATGCATGGGGCTGAGTTGTGGCTAGCAGATGAGAGCTGATTCCTATATGCCATAAAGAGGTAAGCCCAGACACAGAACATCAGGATCGTCAGCAATCTGTGTAGTGACTTCTTTGCTGTGACATCTTTACCATGTGTGCTAAAGGGCTGGTCTGCAACAGATTGAAATTTTAAAACATTGAACACAGACTGTTGAAAAGCATGTCCTAGGAATGACCTGAGGAGCTAGACTATGAGATATGAGGTGAAGACATTTTCACCAACAAACAATCAGGTTGCCCTCTCAGAGGTACATGAGCCTCTCCTTGCCAGCAGCATGGCATCTAGGACTCCTGCTGCTCCACAGCCACCTTAATCCCTGGGAGCTTTTCTTGGCCTTTCTCCCTGTAGCTTTCACCTTTTTGGCATCTTCTTGTTGGCACTGTTTGCACTTTTTCTCTCCTGGAGGACACCCACCTTTACTTAGCTGTGCTCCACTCAAACAGCTTTTTCCAATAGTGCCAGTCAGGCAGTCAAAGGCCATCTCCTTGGCATTGAGATGAAGGAGCTGGCTGGCCTCCACAAAGCGCTTGGTGATGTCTAGAGGATCAGCACCTGATGAAAGAATAAGCAAAGACAAAGTGCTTTTCTCCTGGCATGAATAACTCTTCCAGAAAAAGACATTTGCAAATGGCCAAGGAAATAAAGGTGAAGTCTTACTTTTGATGTAAGGATGAGGAACTCCTGAGATGTACCCTCAATTGGGCAGAGAGCCCAAGATCCAGTAGGCAGAACATTGCTCCCAACCCTACTGCCTGCCTGTCTGTCTCCTTGCCCACAGCTGAGCACTGAGGCCTCCAAGAGGCAGCCACTGACATTGCTTTAGGTTCTTCCACAGCCCTTGAATGATGCCCTCAGTTTAGGGGCACTGGATTCTCAGAATTCCCTTGGCATTTTTTGAACCAGACTCTTGATTCACAAATTCCATGTCTCCACTCCTCAATGCAGTTCTGTCTACCTCTGCACCATCACCCCAAACTCTCCCTTCAGCACCTCTACTGCCTTTAGCACCTTTTACTGCCACCACTGCTAATTTTTGAATAGGTACTCTAGAGATGGGTGATTGGGAGGGGAGGTGCGAGAGCAGAGGAGGCATAAAAAGGGTACTGGCAAAAAAGAGGAAAACACAGTTCTTGCATTAAACCTACACCCCCTCATTCCCAGTGCATACTTACACAGGTTAAGTAGCCCTTATCCCAGGGCTTAGGGTCAAAAGAGTATGGGGTTTGGCGGAGGCCAGAGTTTGGAATGTCTTCCTGTACATACTGAGATATACGGGGATGAGACTCAAAGACATGGAATTCTCTGATGTTTCATGTGCACTCTGTGTGCAGACTGAAGATTGTCTTACATGCAAATTATCCTGCACTGTCAGCTCTGGAATATTCCACAGCTCATTCATATGAGCACTCAACATCCTTTAGACTGCAGAGCCTTTTAGGTTATGGATGCTCAACTCATACCTGTAGGGGTAGATGTGAGGCATTGTGCGTGTATGTGCGCATGCTCGTCGCCCCCCCCCCCACACACCTGTGCAGAAACAAAGTGGAATCTGTGAACAGCCTTACCAGAGGCAGACTCCACCATGGCCTTCATCTTCAGAGAAAGCAGCTCCGTCAATAGGTGGATGGATTGCCGCTGAAACTTTTGCAGTGTTTCTTGGCCACTGGGTTTCAGCCGAGGAGGGGCTGGTGTGGGGGCCGAGTGCTTGGCCCCAGTGGGAGCTGTGAGGATTACTGGGGGTGGTGGGGGTGGTGGGGGTGGTGGGGGTGGCTTCTTCTGCAGCGGGGTCTGCACTGGGACCACTTCTGCAAGCACCACTGTAGGAGATCCAAAGGAAATCACCAGATCCTGAATTTCGGATGGAGTAGGCACTGCAGGGTCACTGATGAGTTCCTCCCAGGTGAATTCAAAGATATTCCTGATGCCTTTTGGGATGGAAATGCCTGCGTTGCGGCAGACAATGAAGAGTTTGGAGATTTGGGCCAGCAGTTTGGGAGCTGTGGCTGAATATTGTAGGTACAGTTCTCGGTTACTTTTGACCTGGTTCATGTCGTCTGGGAAAGCATACTGCTAGGTGACACTGTCCATCTCAGAGGAGAGGGACCTTCAGTTGTAAAGACTCAGCACTCTGAGAAGTGATGTGACTGGGCTCAGAAGCTCTTACCTACAGAGAAGCCTTGCAAAAAGATGGAGTATACATGCAGAAATAGCCCAAACAGGTCATCGAGCCAGTAGTTTCTGTCTCAGAAGGATAAGAGAGTTGCTGGTCATTCTTTCATGCTAGAATAAAGCATTGCTCCCCTCCCTCATCTCCCAGGGACAGCAATGCGAATGAGCCACACTGGGGCAGGCCTGCTGCTGAGGATAGGCCTAGAAAAGTTCTAGAGAGGGTCACTGAATCTGAGTACCTAAAGTAGGAACCTTGGGAGCTAGATAAACAAAAGGGCCAGGGCAAGGAGGATAGTCTCACTGCACCTTTTGTAGTTAGCGACCTGAGGGTAGAAGATCTGCCTGTGTCTACTGAGTAAAGCCTGCAAAAACAAAAGGATTTCATTGATTTTATCCAGAGACAAAGGACATGGAAGCTCCTCATCACAAACCTGTGATGCATATTGGATTACTCAACATGTACAGCCTAGGCCAGGCAGCAAAGCCTGGAGGACAATACAACCCCACAGTTCAAAATCTGATACCACAGGCAACATTCCACAAAGTCTAGGACATCAACAATTGCAAAATGTACTGTTAGAAAGATACTGTTGACTGGAAGATGTAACACACCTGCAGAGATGTTACAGTGTGAAAAATGCATACCCTAACATTTCCACAGTGGACTGTGGAAAGCATCTTCCCTCTTTAACAGGGCTGCTCAAGGGCTCTCAGTGTTCAAGTAAGCTTGGGGGGGGGGGCGGTTCTTGAATTTATCAGATAACACATTTATGAAAATATGTGGATCTGGATCTTATGCTATACAAGAACAATGCCTATTTCTGAGGGCTTATTTCTGAGGGCCTACATGAGGATGTGAGCCTCTGCAGGAGAGCAACATGCAAGAGTGTCCATTTGAAGGAAGTTCAAGCAGGACTTTTTTCCTCTCATGGCCTTTCTAGCATCCTCCTGTAGTTCTAGCTCATCTCTGTCATCTGTCCAGAAGCCAATCCAGCATGCTTTCCATGTCAGCCACAAGAGCAGAGGGCAGGCTGCTGGCTGCACTTTCCCACCATTCTTGGCAGTGAGTGCAGCTGTTCAGCCATCTCTTTTTCCACTTTCCATCCTGACTACTACTTTTCCACACAGGCAATCCTCTTCTTTTTCTAAAGCTCTGACCTTGGGGGCTATCCCAAGTTCACCATTTCAGGACAGTTCCTCAGGTACACCCCTGCAATGCTTTCAGAGAAGGTCCGTGCCACTAGGTGTGTACAACCTATATGAGAAGGCTATTCTCTCTACTGTCTTGTTAATGAGGAACCAGAGCCTGAACTGGGAGATGTCTGTCCCTAGATACAAAGAACAGAGGCTTTTGCCAACACTAAGCCTGACCTTTGAGCTACCTTTGCCCATCTATCAGGAACAAAGTTCTCAAACAACAAGAGTTCCACAGGACAAAGCTAACATTCTACAGGCTTCAAGACAAAGTGGCTTCCTGTGTCTATCTGCTGACCTCTGGCATTGTCATTTCTCAACTTTGCAGATGCAGAAAAATAGATTTGTTCTGGAGTGGTCAGAACACAGAACAAAGACACAACTCAGAATCTCAGGCATCAGGGCAGCAAGCCAGAGAGGTCTGACCCTAACTGTACAGGGTAGATAATGATGACAATGACATTTCTTCTCCCAACACCCCCACCATCTCTCCCTCCTCCCCCTCCTCCCCCCCCCCCTCCTCCCCCTCCTCCTCCCCCTCCTCTTCCCCCTCTTCCTCCTCCTCCTCTTCTTTCAGTCAGGACTCAAATGAAAAAAGACAACAATTAAGAAATTTCTGAAGGGATACAAGTGAATGTATAAAATTATTTAAAAATAAAAAAATATTGCTAACTAACAAAAAAAAAAAGAATTTTCTGAAATATGTGCAGTGTTAACTGTTTGGCAAACTTCTCCCCTATTTTAACTAGTTCCTATCATTTGAAGTTAATTACAAAGACCTATCATACAAACAGATAAAAGACAATTCTTTAAATAGGCTTACTGAGCTGTATATAAATATATACATATAAATATATTTAAATACCATACCATATAAATCAGTTGCAATGTAATTTATGTGTAATATATTTAGAAACACAGCAAATATTTCTACTGAACTTTAGAATAGTTCATCATCTCCTACAGAAGTTCATTTGTGATCACTCCCATTTTGCGCAAATAACTTTATCTAGCTTGTCTATATAGATTTGACTGTTTTTAAGATTTTAAATTATTTTAATTAGATGTAGGTGTGTATGCCTACATGTGGGTATGTGCACATGAATGCAGGTACCTGAAGAGGCACGTGATTCCCTTAGAACTAAAGTTATAGACACCTCTAAGCTGCCTTTCATGGGTGCTGAAAACTGATCTTCAGTCCACTGGAAGAACAGCAAGTGCTGTTAACCACTGAACTATCCTCCAGTCCCAGATTTGCCTTTTTGTGGATGTATATATGCAAGATTATGTGCAGGTGTATGTGCATGTGTATGCAAGCATGGGGAGACTAGAGATCAGTCTTTAGTATTGTTCCTCAAGAGCCACACAACTTGTTTTTCTCAGTCAGGGCCTTACAGGGACCTGGGAGTCACTTAGACCAGATGATCAGTGAGCCCCAGAAATCTGTGTCTCCCCAGTACTGAAATTACAACACACATTGCCACATATAGCAAGCAAGGTATCAACTGCACTATCCCACAAAACCCCAGATTTACCTGTTCTGGACATTAGTATAAATGGCATCATGAATTATATGGTCCTTCCTAACCCTTAAGTAGCTTATTGGCACTTGGTGGCTACTGGAGGAGGAAGTCATGTTTGTCTGAGGATATGGCCACTGGCATGTTTCCATGTAGCAGTGAGACCCACACCCATGCACACACCAGCATCACTAGTTGGACTTGGTGGGCATGGTGGTTTAAATGAGAAGTGTCCCAGGTTTATGTATTTCATCACTTGGTGGCACTAGTTTTGGGGAAGTTAATGGGAACTTTTAGGAGGTGGCAGAATTGCTGGCAGAAGTATCTAGGGGGTTGGCTTTAAGGGTTTATAGTCTTATCTTACTTCTTAATCTACTTCTCTCTCTCCTTCCCTCCTCCCCTCCCTCCCTCCTTGCGTATATAGACAGAAATGTAATCAGCTTCCGGTTCCTGCCACCATGCCATGCTTTCCTGGATATTATAGGCTTTCTCTATAGAACTGCAAGCCAGAATAAACTCTTGCTTCTGTAAGTTTCTTATGGTCATGGTATTTCATCATGGAAAAAATGGAAATGAAAAAGTAACTAACATAGTGGGCTTTTAAAAGAAAGAAAAAGAAAAAGACATGAAGTTAACAGGTGAAAAGATTAGGGGAGTTTGAGGGAATTGGTGTGAGGTAATGGGGTTGCTGGATATGATCAAAATATATTATATACATGTATGAAATTCTCAAAAAAAATATAAACACTTCCGTGATTCTTTGTGGGTTTTTTGTTTGCTATAATGCTTTGAAATTTTATCCATGATGGGCTAGGCTAGGCATGGTGGCACACACATTTAATCCCAGGAGGGAGGCAGAGGCTGGCAGATCTCTGAGTCTGAGGCTACCTTAATCTACAGAGCAAGTTCCAGGACAGACGGGGCAATTAAAAAACAAACAAACAAACAAACAAAACCTGTCTCAAAAAATTTTGTAGTCATGAGCTGGAGTCATCAGCAGTTCAGAATGATTCAGGTTCAGCACCAACATGGTAGTTCACAACCATCTGTAACTCCAGACCCAGGGTATCTAGTGTCCTCTTTGGCCTCTTCAGGCAGAGTGTACATATGTGCAGAGTCTGTACACACATGAAGGTAAAACACTCATATATATAAAACATTTTTTAAACAATCACCCATATAGCAGCATGCATAAATACTTCGTTACTTTTTGAGTTTTATTACTGTTTGTTCAGTCTCACTCTAGCTCTGGCTTGTCTGAAACTATGTAGACCAAGCTGGCCTCAATTCACTTGTCTCTGCCTCCTAAGTGCTAGGATTAAAGTCATGTGCCATGGGTCTGGAAAAATTGTTCAGTGGTTAAGGCTGCTCTTCCACAGGACCCAGGTTCAATTCCCAGCACCAACATGGTGGCTCACAACCATCTGTAACTTCAGTTCTAGGGGATCTGATGCCCTCTACTGGCCTTGAGGGCACCAGGCATGTGGTACATAAGCATATATGCAGACAAAACACCATATACAAAATAAAATAAAGGCATGTGATGTGATACCACACCAAATCTTGTTTTTCATTGTTTCATTGTTTGCGCATATGTGTATGTGTGTGTGTGTGTGTGTGTGTGTGTGTGTGTGTGTGTGACATGCATGAAGATCAGACAACAACTGCATAGAGTCAAGCCTCTCCTTCTACCTTTACATGGGTGTGAGGGTTAAACTCAAGCTAGCTTCCACTACAAGTACTTTTACTGCTGAGCCATCTTGCTAGCCCTTTTTTGTGTGTGGCAGGAATACATGTGTGGGAGGGCACATGTGCACGTGTGTGTGTAAGTGAAGGCAACAGGTAAGTTTCCAGTGACTTTCTTAGTCATTCTCCATTTCACTTTTTTTTAGACAAGGTCTTTCACCAAAAACTAGAGCTCACTAATTGACTCTACTAGTCGGCCAATGAACATCAGAGATACTTCTGTTTTTTTCTCTTTCTACTCCCATCACACGCTTACACCACACTGGGGCTGTAGCTCTGCCAGGAAGAAGTGATGGGTATCCATAACTTAATTCCTCATGCTTGTACAGAAGACATTTTACTGATTGAGCCATCGGCCCAGCACTCTACCTCTCTGCAGAACCCCAGACTTTACCAAAGCAGTAACTCCATTTTCACAGTTCCCAGCAATATTTTGGAGGTCCCAATTTCTACATGCCCTTGTGAACAAATCTTGCCCCTATTGTTTTGGTTCTGATATCATCACAGTGGATATTAAGTTACTGATTTGATTTTACAATCTCATGTGTCCAATGACGTTAAGCACTTTCCTATATGCTTAGCAGGTATTTTATATACTTGGAAACATACCTACTCAGACCAATTTTAAAAAGCC